AGGCTAGGCAAGTGAAAGCTTGACCCAGTCCTATTGATTTTTTCTTTTTCAAGTCCTATTGAATTCTTTGTTCTAATATTCTCCAAATGGATGCTTCTTTATGTTGTTGCGAGATCTTTGACGTAGAAGAAATTCAAAACTTTCTCCATAATCTCTTGCAATATTTTTGAACGTACAATATTATACCTTATTCTATAAACATCAGCTGAAGTATGAAAGCGTGTAAATAGGTGTGCTCTGGTATTGGTATATAAAAAACCCAATTGCATAAGCAAAGTCTATAAAAGTCTTATATGTTCTTATTGGTCTCACACTCACAATAATATTGGAAAAAAAAACAGCATATCGTTGAAAGTAATTCTCAAATCGATTATGGCTTCTTCTTCATCATCATCGTCATCAACTCGTCAGTACAGCTACGATGTCTTCCCAAGCTTTTCCGGTCAAGATGTCCGCAGAACTTTTCTCAGCCACTTTCTTGAAGGGCTGAAAAACAAGGGAATCAAAACGTTCCTACATAATGGGATCACGAGGAGCGAGTCTATCACCTCCGAGCTCGTAAGAGCTATTAAAGCATCAAGGATCTCTGTCGTGATCCTATCAAAGAACTACGCTTCTTCGAGCTGGTGTCTAAACGAGTTGCAGCTGATCATGGAGTGCAAGGTTTCTTTAGGACAAACTGTGATGACAATCTTCTACGATGTGGATCCATCTGATGTGAGAAACCAGACCGGAGACTTCGGAAAGCTCTTTGAGGAAACATGTGATGGGAAGACAGAGGAACAAAAGCAGATATGGAGACAAGCTTTGACTCACGTTGCGGTTATTGCAGGCGAACATTCTGTTTCATGGTACTGTTCTAATCCATTTCATAGTTTTCGTTAGGATTGGGCACATATACTCTATATGTCATCAAAAAAAAAAAAAAACAACGTATCCGGGCCTTCTAGCTAATTATATATGCATGTCATGTCTTTTTTTTAGGGCTAGTGAGGCTGAGATGATTTCTAAAGTCGTCATGGATGTTTCGAACGAGTTGCCATCAACGGATTTTGATCAGTTAGTTGGGATAGAAGCTCATGTAGCAAACTTGAGAGCGATGATGTGCTTAGAATCCGACGAGGTGAAGGTTGTGGGGATCTGGGGTCCTGCGGGAATTGGCAAAACCACCATAGCCAGAGCTTTATACAATCAAGTTTCCAGCAACTTCCAGCTTAAGTTTCACAAGGAGCCAACGTGGAAGGCTGCTTCTAACACGATGGGATTTCAACACGAACTGCTATCTGAAATTTTAGATCATAGAGACATGAAGTTACCTAACATGCAAGAGGCGAAATTTAAGCTAATGCACCAGAGAGTCCTTGTCGTTATTGACTCTGTCAGTCACGAAGAGCTACAAGTTTTGCAAAATCTAAACCAAGAGGGCTGTCTTAGATTCGGAAGCAAGGTGATTGTGACGAATGAAAATCTATACACATTGAAGCAGTTCAGCATTGACCAGATATACAAAGTTGCTTTCCCTTCGACCGAAGAGGCTCTACAGATCTTCTCGTACTCTGCTTTCGGGCAAAGCTCTCCCCCAAGAGGTTACCTGGAGCATGCTGTTGAAGTAGCTAAGCTTGTTGCTCCTTTTCCACTTGCTCTCAAGATCTTAGGCTCGGCTTTACGTGGGAAGAGCAAGAAGGAGTGGACAATGGCACCGGCTAATATCAACACCTGTCTAGTCGACAATGACACTGAGAAGGCAATTAGGTTTGCGTACGATGGTTTATCTAAGAAACACAAAAGGTTATTCCACTCGTTAAGATATTCTACGCATTGGGGTAAGAACCTGAGCAACGCCAAATACTCGCTTGCAGAGAAAGACTGGGACGTGGAGAAAGGGATACAAAAGCTGGCTGATTTGGCTCTCATCTCCATATCTGGGGATGGAGAAATCATGATGCACGATTTGGTACAGTTAATGTGTCAAGTATTGCTTCCTAACAACTAATTTGTGGGAAAAGAATCAAACAAATGTTTTTTTTGTGTGTGTGTGTGTGTTGGTTTTAGCAGTAAACATATGTTGAATGCTTAAAGTTTGTTACATGAGCTTAGGAGTTATAGTTCCTACGTTGTATTTATCTTTCTAACTGATTAAACTCACTCCAAATGTTACAGGAGAAACATATCTTTAAAATGTTACTATAGTTGCCAAGGCCTCATATTTCGAGCGCTCTCTCTCTCTCTCTCTCTCTCTCTCTCTCTCTCTCTCTCTCTCTCTCTCTCTCTCTCTCTCTCTCTCTCTCTCGCTCTCTCTCTCTTAATAAGCATAGTTGTAAATTTAATGGAACAAAACCCATCGTTAAAAATAAAATTGTTAGATGAGTCCACCAAAATTATATTTACATGAAACTTACTCCCATGTTTTTTTATACTCTTGTGGGTATGACATTTTTTGAAATTTCGTGATACTTTCCAAGTTGAGACTTGATATAATCCCAAATAAACAAACCTCTGGGAAACTTCGAGGAATTTAAGGAGTACAGGGTTTGACTTAATTTTTTTATGTTCACTCAATGATAATATGATGAATAAGATCCACAATGGTTTTGCTGGATTTATAGAAATTCTCGATAAGCTTGGCATGGTCTTCTGCTTAGGTTTCACCCTCTTTATAGTCATAAACCGAGATAGAATAAAAACTATTGAGTTTTCCAATCAATATCAGCTTTCTCAATCTCAAGGTATTGCGTTGGAAAACTTTTCACCATTAACTTTTGTCTATCATCGAGAATGATGTAAATATACATTATTTTTGAAAAGAAATATATACTCCCATAATATTAAAGCCATTTTCGAAGATTTTATATTTTATTTTTGTTGACGATTTCGTCCTTCAATACAGGGTTACTTACTATGACTCGTTCTACACATGCATAGTTGACCATTTTTAAGTCGTTGTGTGGAGCTTACTTAGACATCAAGCTTCCTTTAAATATAGGGTTTTCGTAATTTAAAAGAAAATACTAATAAGAATGACTTAGACCAAATTTTGAGTGCCATAAAATAAGAAGTTCCAGATTCTTGTTCCAATAATTTATAATAAAATGAGTGCCATAAAATAGGATGCAGCGCAAGACTCTTGACTTAGTCCAGCGGGAGGCTATACCAGTGAAAGCTTGACCAAGCTCTATTGAATTTTCTGTTCTTTTCGTCTCCAAATAGGTTTTTTTTTTTATGATGTGAGATCCTTGACGATGAAGACAATCAAAGCTTTCTCTTTTCTTGCAAGAACATACAATATTATATCTTATTCTATAAACATCAGATGAAGCATCAAAACCGTGTAAATTAGGTAGAAAATCAACTAACTAATGCTCTTGTATTGGTATATAAAACCCATTTGCATTGGCAAAGTCTAAATACTTATTTGTCCCCACACTCAAAATTACACAGAAATGAGCATGTTCTTGAAAGGAATTTTTAACTTTATTTTGGGAGGATCAAGAAGAGATGGTGATTCTAATTACCCTCCCATCGCTTCTTCCTCTTCTTCCTCTTCCTCTTCCTCATCGTCATCAACTCGTCAATACAGCTACGATGTCTTCCCAAGCTTCTCCGGTCAAGATGTCCGCAGAACTTTTCTCAGCCACTTTCTTGAAGGATTGAAAAGCAAGGGAATCAAAACGTTTATAGATAATGGGATCATGAGGAGCGAGTCTATCAACTCTGAGCTCATAAGAGCTATTAGGGATTCAAGGATTGCTGTCGTGATCCTATCAAAGAACTACGCTTCTTCGAGCTGGTGTCTAAACGAGTTGCAGCTGATCATGGAGTGCAAGGTTTCTTTAGGACAAACTGTGATGACAATCTTCTACGATGTGGATCCATCTGATGTGAGAAAGCAGACCGGAGATTTTGGAAAGGCCTTTGACAAAACATGTGATGGGAAGACAGAGGGAGAGAAACAGAGATGGAGACAAGCTTTATCTCAAGTTGCAGTTATTGCTGGAGAGCATTCTGTCTCATGGTACTGTTCTGTTCATTACAATAAACCATCATATTGTAACATCATATATATTATGTGGCTTGTTCATACCTTTTAAATGCGCTAGTGTTGATCTTCTTACTTTGATACATATAGGGCAAGTGAAGCTGAGATGATCACCAAGATTGTCATGGATGTTGCGAATGAGTTGCCATCAACAGATTTTGATAGGCTAGTTGGAATCGAAGCCCATGTGGAGAAGGTGAAATCGATGCTATGCTTAAAATCCGACGAGGTTAGGATGGTGGGGATCTGGGGTCCTGCAGGTATTGGTAAAACCACCATAGCTAAAGCCTTATACAACCAAATTTCCAGCAATTTCCAACTTAAGTATTACAAGGACAATATTGGAGGGAAACATACGTTCCTGTCGGAGTATTACAAGGACAATGTTGTCGCTCTAATAGGAAACGAGTTATTACATGGGATTTTAGATCATAAGGACATGAAGATACCTAACAGAAATGAGGTGCTATATAGGCTAATGTATCAGAGAGTTCTTCTCATTCTTGATGATATCAGACCTGAGGAGCTACAAGCTTTGCAGGTTCCAATCACTCAGCTTAAGGTCGGAAGTAAGGTTATAGTGACGAGCGAAGATATAAGTACATTGACAGGATGCGGAATCCACCAGATCCATACCTACAGGGTTGCTTATCCATCGAGCGAAGAGGCTTTGCAGATCTTCTCATACTCTGCCTTTGGGCAAAGCTCTCCACCAAGAGGTTATTTGGAGCATGCCATTGAAGTAGCGAACCTTGTTGCTCCAGTTCCGCTTGGTCTCAAAGTCTTGGGTTCGTCTTTGCGTGGGAAGACCAAAGATGAGTGGACAGCGACACTTCCTAGGCTCAGAACCTGTGTCGGCGATAAGGATATCAAGAAGGCTCTTAGATTTGTGTTTGATGGTTTATCTCAGAAACATAAAACTATACTTATTCGGTTAGCAATTTCTGTAAGTCGTGGTGAGAGCATGAACAAGGTCATATTCTCGCTTGCGGAGAACTACTGGGACGTGGACAAAGGGATACAAACCCTAGCCGACTTGGCGCTCATCTCTATCTCTGGGGAAGGAGAGATTATGTTGCACTGTTTGGTACTATCAGTTATGTCTTCGGAGATTATGATCTGCGGAATGACTACTCCGGCTTTTTATTAATACGTTTGTTGTATTTTATCTGGCTGTGTGATCTTCCAAACATAGAGCTTTTGCTTCTCCTTTTGTTTTTTTTTTTGTTTTGATGGGTTTGTTGTATTTTAGATGATTATTTTAGTTTTACTTAAATCCTACATGCACAAGACAAAGTTTCAGAAATAGACTATTCTGGTTTATCGACAAAGATAACTTTTCAAACATAAACAACGCCAAATGTTAAATGCTTAACGTCGTGTTAAGGGTTTTGGTTCCTACTTTGTATATATATCTACAGATTCTACACTCGTAATGTTACACTGGAAATGTAAAACAGTTTTATACCTGTCAAGGCCTCCTCTAATCATCACCATTCCTTTTGTTCCTGACTGAGGCGGGAAAGCTTTGTGACGCGACGAGTTTTTTTTCTTCTCTCGCCACGTGGACTGGCTTTTTTTTTAAAGGATGCTCTTTGTGCTGACACGTGTCAATGATTTGTAATTAGTCTTTTACAAAAGGCTTTTAGGCCCAAAACCATAGCAACCTTCGAACATAATCCTAAGCCCACCGAATTGAAAATTCTTCGTTTAGTTCTTTTTTTTTTTTTCTTTAACTGTAATAATCACTGTGAGCGAGAGCAGAGACTCCCTTAAATGTTCTTCACCTGTTCAAGTATTGCTCGGTCTTTTTGTTATCGACTATTTTCTTCGTTCATATGTTTGAAATTACAATTCGAGTTTCGATTTGTTTTGTTTTGTTTTGGCTCTTTGAGGTTTTCGATTCTGTCGATTTCTTATATACTTTTGTCCTTTGCGTCATTCTACATGGTTTTCCTGCTCTTCTCCCTATTTAGTTTGAATTTATGTTATGGGTTATTTTCTTCAGTTGATCAGGTCTTTTAGTTTGGTGTTACAGTGCTTTGATTTTTCGTTACGGTTTTGGCGAATTTTGATTTGTCGGATTGAGTTTCGAATCCTTAAGTTAAAACCCTTTTGTAAAATTAGGATTTTCGTATAACAACTAACAACGCTTTGGTTGATGTTTGGCAGCTAAGAGGGTTTTAAATAGTCAGCTGAGCTCAAAATTGTATATAAATGAAACTTACTCCCATGTTTTGATATTCTTATGGGTTTGACTTTTTAGAAATTTCGTGATACTATACGAGATGAGTGAGACTTGGTCTATACTCTATTCTCAATTCTCAAATACACCAGCCTGTGGGAATTTTCCAGGAATTTATGGGGATAAAGGGTTTGACTTTTTAAAACATTCTTCTCTCAATGTATATGCTGAATGTGCTTTCATAATTTCTCCAAATCGACTTTGCTAGAGATCAAACAAGAAAAGAAAAAAAAGAGAACTTTTTCATCGTTCATGATTAAATTCTGCTACAAAAAGTGTTTTTTTTTTTTTTTTTTTTATTCTAGTTTGAGAAAAATAAGTGAGACTTTGGTTTAGAAATTATAGATTGGCTGGTTCTTGTGCTTCGGTTTTAATCTTCCATCATGTCTGCGTCTTCATCTTCTTCTTTGTTGGCCTCTGGCCAGTGGAAATACGACGTCTTCCCAAGCTTCAGCGGTCAAGACGTCCGCCGAAACTTTCTCAGCCACTTGCTCTGTGAATTCAAGCGCAAGGGAATCAACTCGTTTGTAGATGATCAAATCAGGAGGAGCGAGTCCATCGGCCTGGAGCTCGTACGAGCTATAAGAGCATCGAGGATTGGTCTGGTCATCCTCACAAAGAACTACGCTTCTTCAAGCTGGTGTTTAGACGAGTTGTTGGAGATTATGGATTACAGTCAAAAGGTGATGACAGTTTTCTACGATATAAATCCATCTGATGTAAGAAAACAGAGGGGTGATTTCGGGATGGCCTTCGAGAGAACTTGTGAGGGTAAAACAGAGAAGGAGAAGCAGAGATGGAGCCAAGCTTTGACTAATGTTGCTAACATAGCCGGCGAGCATTCAGATAAATGGTTAGTCCTCTCCACCAAATGTTTCATCTTGCCTGTGGATCAGTTTGTTAGTATCATGAGATTTCTTCATAGCAATCTTGAATCTTTGGGGAACATTTGCACGAAGTTTTGTTGAATGTGTAGTTGATAGGCAATAGAAAATCTACACTTATGTGGACATTAGATGCTGCTGCTTACATTTGTGTGTGCATATGTAAATTATACAAGAAAGGACATATAGTTGTTCTTAAGGTAAAAAGTTCAAGCTTTCATTTCCATGTATGTGTATCAGATTCTTGTCCCATTTTTATTAAAGAATGATATTTACTCATTTCAGGGATAGCGAAGCTGCTATGATGATAAAAATTGCCACAGATATCACTAACATGCTGAACTTCACACCGTCAAGGGATTTCGATCATTTAGTTGGCATTGAAGCTCATATGGCAAAGATGAACTCTTTGTTATGTATGGAATCTAATGAAGTGAGGGTCGTAGGGATGTGGGGTCCTGCAGGAATTGGCAAAACCACAATTGCTAGAGCGTTGTACAACCGAGTTTCCGGCGACTTTCAGCTTAGTGTTTTTATGGAAAATGTCAAGGGAAGTTACAACAAGAGTGACAGCTACAGCTCCAAGTTGCGGTTGCAAGAACAGTTTCTCTCTGAAATGCTCAACCTCAAGGATATGAGGATAAATCATTTAGGTGTGGCGGAGGAGAGGCTAAACTCCCGGAAAGTGTTTATCGTTCTTGATGATGTCGATCATCTAGAGCAACTAGAAGCTTTAGCAAATGAACCTCGGTGGTTTGGTGCCGGAAGTAGGATTGTTGTGACCACTGAGCATAAACACCTTTTCAAGGTGCATGATATCAACCATATTTATGAGGTAGATTTTCCCTCCTGGAGTGAAGCACTACAGATCTTTTCTCAATCCGCCTTCAAACAAGATTCTCCGCCGGAAGGATTCAGGGATCTTGCAGTTGAAGTTACACAGTTCACTAATCATCTGCCACTGGGACTCTGTGTTTTAGGCTCATCACTGCGAGGTAAAAGCAAAACTGAGTGGTCACATCAACTGCCTAGCCTAAAAGCCAGTCTTCATGGTGACATTGAGAAGATATTAAAAGTCGGCTATGATAGCTTAGGTAATGGTGATAGGTATAAAATGATATTTCTCCATATCGCATGTTTATTCGATGGTGAGAAAGAGGATCGGGTGATTCAGCTTCTTGAAAATAGCATTCCTGGCATTAAATATGGGATTTCTGTCCTTGTCGAAAGAGCGCTTTTGTATATATCAAGCGGCAAACGTATCATGATGCACCATTTGCTTCAACAAATGGGAAGAGGAATCGTACGTAGACAATCTGCTCATGAGCCTGGGAAACGTCAATTCCTTATAGAATCTCAGGAGATTTATGATGTTCTTGCTGATGACACTGTAAGTACATATTTGTATTTACAAATGCATATCTCCTTCACATCGCGTTCTTACTATGACTCGACCAGGTCAAATTGTTATGATTCATGCCCTGTAAGTTTGTTTTCAGGGTACAGCAAGTGTTTTAGGCATATCGTTCAACATGTCTGATGAAAGCCGCGAGTTGCTCCTAGGAAAGAGAGCCTTTCGTGGGATGCATAATCTCCAGTTTCTAAGATTCTATAAAAAAAAGTCCGATAAGGCCAAACTGCATTTACATGAAGGTTTGGATTGTTTGCAACTACCTCGTACACTCAAGTTACTTCACTGGGAAGCATGTCCTATGAAACATATGTCTTTTCGGTTTCGTCCAGAATGTCTCATTGTAATCAAAATGAAAGAGAGCAACCTGAAGAAGCTCTGGGAAGGAGTCCCAGTAAGTTTTTTTTGGCAAGCCTCTCACCTGCATTAGATGATTTTGTTCCAAATAACAACATTTCTGACATTTTGTTCCCTGTATTTGCTTTCAGATTCTTAGAAGTCTCAAAAAGATGGAATTGGGTGGCTCCACTAGCCTGGAAGAACTTCCTGACCTTTCAGAAGCAATGAATTTGGAGCATTTGAATTTGCAAAATTGCCACAGTTTGATGAAGCTTCCTCCCTCTATCTGGAAACTTAGTAAGTTGGATTTCTTACACCTTGAAGCCTGCAGAAGCTTAGAGCCTCTTCCAGCAAACTACCCGTTGCACTCTCTTAGTTACCTCAACGTTAGCAACTGCCCACAGCTCAAAGAGTTTCCAGAGATTTCTACTGAAATCGAACATCTCGATGCGTCCTCCACCGCGATACCAGAAGTGCCTCCATCAATAGACTCATGGTTCTCTCTTCATACATTGGATATGAGTGAATGTGAGAACCTCACAGAGTTTCCACTTGTTCCGTCCACCGTCTCCGAGTTACATCTGGATTCAACAGATATACAAGAAGTTCCTCCGTGGATCTCGGATCTCTATGGGCTCACGCAGTTCACCATGTTACACTGTACGAAGCTGCGAAAGATCTCGCCAAGGATTTGTGAGTTGGGACAACTCGAGCTACTTAATTTTAATGGCTGCATAAATGTAGAAAAATTCCCTGCAGAAATGTTCCAGAGCTTCTCTTTATCACATGGCTTGGATTTGTCCCTGGACTTCATTGGCAAGAACAGTTTACCTACGTTTCCGCCTGAGGAGACCCACGATTTCCCGTTACGCTTGAATTTGTTTGGGAATGATTTTGAGAGTATCCCACATCACGTTGTACCGCAGGTTTATTCCATTAGCCTTACAGACTGCATATATCTCCGGTGGCTGCCAGAGCTTCCGGGCTCGCTGTCAGAACTGGACGCAAATAATTGTGTCTCTCTTGAAAGTTTGTCTCCGACCTTTGGCTCATCTCACGACCCAAAGCTCGTCCTCAGGCTCGTTAACTGCTCGAAACTGGATCAACGAGCGCGTAAACTAGTCATCCAGCGATGGGCTTGTGGGTATGCGGTACTACCTGGTAGCAAAGTGCCCAACTACTTTACTCATCGAGCTAGAGGAAGTTCTCTAACCATCAATATAGACCGGAGGAAGTTATATGGATCGTTGAGATTTAAAGCTTGCGTTGTGCTCCCCCGGAGTAATAAGTTTGATGTTGTGAATTTTAGGCGTTTCAAAATTTCTTGCTACGTCATAGGCAGACACTCCACCACTGTGTATAAATGGCCGGAGATATATGCACACTGTCGGCTTCAGGAGAGCCATCTGTTTATACTCAACTCTTACCTCACGCTGGAGGAAGACAACATCCCCGAAAGCGAGATATTTTTTTACTTCAAATGCTTGGAGAGTAAAGAGTATCCGGTGACTGTATCCGCCAATATACTGCGATGTGGTGTAAAACTCTTGGAGCCTTGTTCTTGCGAATATGACAGGAAAGCACACCCTGAGTTATCGACTTTTCCACTTGAGGACGATGAAGGCAACATCAACAGCATTGGAGAGACAAGTAGAAGCAAGAAACGAGAGCGGTCCAGTGTTGCAGAGGGACCTGAGAGGTCAAGCAAGAATCTGAGAATTGGATGAGTGGAAATCTGAGAGGTCAAGCAAGAATCTGAGAATTGGATGAGTGGAAATCTGAAGATACTAACATTGCATTTCTAAAAATTCTGATGTTATGTGTGACTCAAGTTTTGTTCATTAACAGCTTGAAGGAAATACAAGAGGTGCCGATATTCAAAGCTCTTGTTTTAAAGCCAACATTGCATAACTGTTCCATGTCTTTTAGAAAAAAACAAGCTCTCTTCTGATTAGAAGCAAACAAATTTAATTGGAAAATCTTGTTCTTTTTTTCTGTAATTAAATGTTACAGATGACAAAAAAATTGCGTGTTGTAACTTGTAAGCTATATATATATATATATACAAATCTGATTGTTCCCTTTGACCGTTGTCAGAACAGTGAGAAGGTTTAGTAAGCCCAATTTTTTTAGCAACGTTGGTTAAAGCTCGCTTCCATCTCTGCCTCTCTTCCTCTGTTCTTCCCACACAAGTTTTCTCAAAGGCCTTCCCAAAATTTCCTTTCTGTTTTCTAAGCAGGAATCTGAAGAAGTAAAAGCTTTGATTAATTCCTCCTTATAAATGTTTTTCTTTTCTTCAAAAGGATACTCTTTTTTTTTATATTTTTTTGCACGATTGGAACGTGCAGTATTCTGGTATAAACACTAGATGAATTTTGTAAACGTGCTTGGCACGTAGAAAGATCAACTAATTGTAAACGTTCTTATACGTGTTATGTAGAACCCATTTGCATATGCAAAAATCAAAATTCAAAAGTCTTCTTCGAAGATAGTATTGGCCATCACACACTCAGAATTACAAAGAAGAAAACATGTTAACAGGAATTCTCAAGTCAGTCTGGGGAGAGTCAATAACAGAGAGCAATTCTCTTCATCCACTGGTCGCTGCTTCTACTCCTCCTTCTTCTTCTTCTTCATCATCACCAACACGCCACCAATACAGCTACGACGTCTTCCCAAGTTTCTATGGCCAGGACGTCCGCAGAAGCTTCCTCAGCCACTTTCTCGAAGGACTGAAACGCAACGGAATAAGCACGTTCGTAGACAATGGGATGATGAGGTGCGGATCTATCAACTCTGAGCTCGTAAGAGCTATCAGGGAATCGAGAATTGCCGTCGTGATCCTCTCAAAGAACTACGCCTCTTCGAGCTGGTGTCTACATGAGTTGCAGCTGATCATGCATTGCAGGGTTTCTCTAGGACAGACGGTGATGACAGTATTCTACGATGTGGATCCATCTGATGTAAGAAAACAGACAGGGGATTTTGGAAAGGCCTTTGAGGAAACCTGCTATCGCAAAACAGAGAAAGAGAAGCAGAAGTTAAGACAAGATTTCACTCAAGTCGCTCTAATCGCTGGAGAACGCTCTACTTCATGGTACTGTTCTAAACTTTCATAAAGTGCAAATCTATTATGTACTTCTTGTTAAAATACTCGATATCGCATCTGAAAATTAGGTTTATGAGTATTGATTATAATCTATTAGGGGTTAATGTTTGTTTTCCTGCAACGGACTAGGCTAAGCTAGCATGGTTACCAAACCACTGTCCTTGTGTTTCGTGTCGATTAGTAGTGTTCTAACTTTATATACACGTACCTTTTTCTTTAGGGCTAGTGAATCGGAGATGATCTCGAAAATCGTCAAGGACGTTTCTAACGAGTTGCCATCAACGGATTTTGATCGGCTGGTTGGAATTGAAGCTCATGTAGCAAATATGAAATCAGTGATATGCTTAGAATCCGACGAGGTGAAGATGGTGGGCATCTGGGGCCCAGCAGGTATTGGCAAAACCACCATAGCTAAAGCCTTATACAGTCAAGTCTCCAGTAGCTTCCAGCTCAAGTTTTATAAAGAGAATTTTAAGGGGAAGTACGAGATGCCCCAACTTCAAAACAATGGCTTGCGAAAAGAGTTACTTTCAGGAGTTTTAGATCATAGGGAGATGAAGATACCTGACTTGGGTGAGGCAGAAGATAGGTTGAAGCACCAGAGAGTTCTTCTCATCCTTGATGAAGTCCCTCCTAATGACCTAATAGCTTTGAGAGATATAATTCAGGGTCTTAGATACGGAAGTAAAGTGATTGTGACCAGTGAAGATATAGATACGCTGAGAGAATGCGGGATCAACCAGAACCAGATCTACAGAGTTGCGTTTCCATCGAGCGAAGAGGCTCTGCAGATATTTTCATACTCTGCGTTCGGACAACGCTCTCCACCAAGAAGTTTTGTGGAACAGGCAGACGAAGTAGCCAAGCTTGTTGCTCCATTTCCACTTGGTCTAAAGATGGTTGGTTCTTCTTTGCGTGGGAAGAACAAAGACGAGTGGGTGATGGCACTGCCTAAGCTCAAACCCCATCCTGACGACAATGACATAGAGATAGCGATCAGATTTGCGTACGACGGTTTATCAGATAAACACAAAACGTTACTTTATCTTTTAACAGATGCCATAAGTTCCGGGGAGAACGTGAACAACGCCATATTCTCACTTTCACAGAGCGACTGGTACGTAGAGAAAGGGATACAAACCCTAGCTGATGTAGCTCTCATCTCTATATCTAAAGAAGGAAGAATTCTGATGCACTATTTGGTTCGCTTAATGTCCATCAGGTTAAGTTGGTAGGAAAAAAAAAATATCAAATTCTGTTGAATTTTTCTGGATACAATAAACATATTTTTTTTCCCCCAATCATAAACACAATGTTGTATCGCTTAACTTTCTTCCAGGTATATATATAAAACTGTCTTACTGTACATTTAAAAGATGTATTTGATCTGATTATCTTGTTCTTTTTTCTTATGACAAAGAAAAGTAAAGATAATTTGCAAGTTGTGTGTAACTTGTAATCTTTTGACCTTTGTCAGAATAGTGAAGGTTTAGGGCCTTTAGGCCCAATAATTTCGCGGGCTTTGCTTCTCCATCTTTATTTAGATATCGTTATAATTTTAAAATTTCGACAACAAAAAAAACCCTAATTTCCGAAATTCCTCAAAAATTCCACCTTCAGTTTTCTTTTCCTACTTCCCCTTTCATTACACAGCGTGCGAGAGCGAGAACAAACAAGATTCGGAAGAACTAACGTGTTTCAGAGTACTGCTCCATCTTTCTATTCGTTTTTCTCTTCGGACTTTCAACTCTTCTCGTTGTGTTTTTTTCTTTTTTCTTCTTGTTTTTGATGGCTTTGGGTTCTGTCGATTTCTTCTTTGCTTCATTCTACCCATCTTCTTTCGATTATTTTGGTTTCTAAGTGACGTTTTCAATTAAACCACGTGCTTGATTTTGTACAATTATAGACTCTGCTGTTTATGTTTTTTTGGCATATGTTGATTGTTTGGTTGAATTGCGAAGGTTTAATCGAACCAGATTTTTGCTTTAGAATAAAAATGCTTTTATGTTAAAATCGTGGTGCGTGGTTTAAGTTATCGGAGAACCTCAGTTGTTATAGAAACCTGCAAAATTATTTTGCAAATGTCGTGTGTTGTAGCACTTCTATGTTTTAGCTGAAATTCAAAGTTCTAATTTTTGTTCCTTCTTTCAGTGATGACAGAATCTGTTGCTGGGCCAGCTAAATTGGGTAAGCTGAATTCTTTGTCTTCACAATGGTCTAAGCTATTTGTCGTGCTCGAGCTATAATTTTAAAAACATCTCCTTTTGTTTTGTCTTTGGTGCTCGGCAGAGAACTCACGTCGTGATAAGCGGAAAGAGGCTCGCTTGCAGAAGAACCAGAAAAAACATGAATACTTTCAGCGTCAGGTACGAGGAAAGTCTTTGGTATAGTTTATTAGTCATAGATCAATAATTCCTCTTAAAAATGTTTTTTGTTGATGTGTAATGTTGGTTTTGCTGGATCTCAGAAGTTGCGAAAGGAGAAACGAGGATCATCATCGGTTCAGAAGACCGGTGACGTGATCAAGCCTGAGAATGTTCACCAGGAAAGTGATAGTGAAACTGAGCATGATGTAAAGTCAGTTAGATCTTTGACGCATGAGAAAGGCGAGGATAGAGTCAAATCAAAGGAGAAGAAGATGCAAAGAGTAGACAGAGTGAAAGATGTAAAGAAACCAAAGAAGACGAAATTTGAAGAGCTTCTTGAAATGGAGACGCAAAGCGGTTTAGTATCTCGTGACGAGGATGTTGAACTTGAGAGGAAGCTCGCAAAGAAGCTCAAGGTAAACAAAGGAAAACTAAGGGGCTTGGATGATGGTATGAATGAATTGTTCGAAGGACTTCCATCTGTATTGGATTCGATTGGATCTGAACTCGGTGATTCTTCTCGTAAGAAGCGTAAGAGAAAGAGATCCGAAGAAAAACAGGACGATGAGGTCGTCGATAAGCAAGCAGACGAAGATTTGGAGCATGAAGAATCCGGTTTTTCTGACGAGGCTGTCGTTATGCAAGCAGACGAAGATTCGGAGCATGAAGATTCCGATCATTCTGATGAGGTTGTCGATAAGCAAGCAGACGAAGATTTGGAGCATGAAGAATCCGATTTTTCTGATGAGGCAAGCGAAGAAGAGCCTACAAGAAAAAGAGACCGTAAACAGCGTAAGAAGAAGAATAAGAAGAAAAAGTCTGTGGATGAAGAACTAGAAAGTCATCCTATGGAGATCACAGATCGTGGTGAGTCAGAGACTGTTAGTTCTGACGATTCACCGTCTGCTTTGGAGAAAGTAGAATCTCCTCTGCAGGAAGATCCTCAGAGCACCATCAAGTATGTTGCTCCTCGTTTTAGATCTCAGGCCAGAAGTGAACCTGAAGAACACACTAAACTACGTACACGGATCAAAGGTAATGGCTATCAAAGGCTGTTTTTGACCTCTGGTGTTTCTAGTTTTGTAATCTTAGTTTGACATTCTTAAATATGTGTTACAGGTCTTCTTAATAAAATGGCTGAATCCAATGTAGAAACAATAACCGCAGAACTTTCCACTATCTATCGCGTAAGCTTCAGTATCCTTCACAGTTTTTTCTCCAAGAACTATTTGATAGTTGTATGGTGGATACTTTGTGATTATCATAACCTTCCTAGATTCCATTGTTAAAAAAAGCACCCATTTCTATACCGGTTCCGGAATCCGCCTCATTGTTTTCGTCATCAGCATTGTCTTCGGCTAAATGGCTTCAATAGTACTTTGTTATTGTTGTTACATTGTATTTTCCCTTCGCTGTAGTAATCCCTGTAATATTTGCTAATGCAGACTGTTGCGAGAAGTGTGTCCTCTCAGATTTTCTGTGAAGAGGTTTTGGCAACTTATTCCAGAGGCAATGAACAGTTAAGATTTGTACAACTTTCTAGAGTTCCAGCTGGGGTTACTGCTAGCCCTTGAATAGTGTGGAACTGCTTGGTTACATTGACGTCCATATTAGTCGATTGGTGTCTGAATACTTTGTTTTCCTTGTGAAGGTACTCTGTATTTGCTGCTTTTATAGCTGGCATGGCGTGTCAAGTGGGTATGGATTTTAGTGCAAAGCTTATTGCTTCACTTGCTAAATCCTTTGAGGTATGTCCCTGAATTTTGCATGTATGAATCGCTAGCTAAATTCTCCATATTATGTTTCTTTTCACCATCTTGTTTAAAATACTGCGTTAATTACAAATCCTTAAATTTGTCTTCAGGATGAATACCAGAAAGAAGACAGTCTCTCTTTGAATGGAATTACTCTTTTACTCTCTTATCTGTGCATGTTGGGAGTTTGCTCCAGGTAAACTATCTGCAGCTACACATTCTTTCATTTTAATCAAGCGCTATAATTTAGTTCTCTTATGTAACAGAACTAGAAAGTACAGTGGTTTTATATATGATTTATCTTATCTTATTTATGACTTTTTTTGGTTATTTTCTGGGACAGAATGTGAATTTCTTTTGTTTTCTTTCTGCAGTGATCTTATTTATGATTTCTTTATGACATTGGGGACGCGGCTGACTGAAGTTGCTGCCTCCACTATTATAACTGTTTTAGATTGTAAGTTTTGGTTATATTCTACTTGCATGGTCATATTAGGTGTTTTGAGATCTTATGTTACATCTCTAAGTTCTTGATTATGCTTTGAACAGGCTGTGGAATGAAAATAAGAAGTGATGATCCTCTGGCTATGAAAACTTTCATCATAAGCATCCAAAACAAGACAAATGAAATTAAAACCTCCCCGGAAGGCCAGCCTAAAATAAAAAACTACACAGTAAGTGATCTACGAAAGATTCTCTTCTTGAAGAAAACGTTTTATTATGATTTTAAAATCGTTTCTTACGCCGAATTCTGCAGATGGAAAAGATGCTTGAAACCCTTTCTGCAATCAAGAACAACAAGTTCAGAGCGAAAGATGATTCTGTCCAGAACACAAGGGTGAAAAAGTGGCTTCAGAAGGTAATATCTCAGCCTCTCGATATGATATGTAAATATCATCATTACTACAATCATAAACTTGTGCCCATCTTCCTACAAATTTGCACAGTTGAGAGTGGAAGAAGTATTATTAAGAGGGCTCACATGGAGCAAGCTGCTTGACCCGGAGAAGAAGGGTCAGTGGTGGTTATCTGGCGATTTGGTGGTTAAATCAAACAACGCCGAAGATGTAGCACAAACAATGGATGCAGATGTTGTTGAGGCCCAGAAGATGTTAAAGCTAGCTGATGCACAGAGGATGAATACAGATTCCAGAAAGGCTATATTTTGCGTGATCATGAGCAGTGAGGACTACATTGATGCATTTGAGAAACTTCTTAGATTGGATTTGCCAGGAAAACAGGACAGAGAGATCATGAGGGTTCTAGTTGAATGCTGTTTACAGGAGCAAGTATTTAACAAGTACTACACAGTTCTCGCTTCTAAGCTGTGCGCGCACGACAAGAATCATAAGTTTACACTACAGGTACTTTTCAACTATCTTATAGAACCGAAGCCGGTTAAAGTAATGATCTTCTTTTCTCTAATCAAATTTTTGTTTTGTCTTACAGTATTGCATTTGGGACCATTTCAAAGAACTAGAGACGATGTCGCTTCAGAGATCAATGCATCTGGCGAAATTTGTTGCGGAGATGATTGTATCTTTCAATCTTTCTCTTGCGGTGCTAAAATCCGTGGACTTGGCAAATCCGGTGATGTTAACTCCGAAAAGAATCATGCACTTTCGAATTATGTTCGAGGCCATCTTCGAGCACCCTGAGAATCTTGTGTGGAACTTGTTCACGCGCATAGCCTTGAATCCGGACTATGAAGCGCTACGCGATGGCATCAAGTTCTTTATGAAGGAATATGTTGTGAAGGCTAATAAAGCAATCTTTGGGAAATTCAGGAAAGCTAAAGAAGCTCTTAACAATGCAGATGGATTGCTCATGTGATTCTGTTTCCTTAAGTGTGCCAAGGCCAACAATTTTGTAAGCTTTTTGAGAGTTTTACTCTGATTATGTCATTGGCTCTTATGTTTTGTACACATATTTTACTATTGAAGTTTTCCAAGTTTCATCACCTTCTATAAAAAATTGTAGAAACGATCTTAAATGTTGATATTCGTTTTTTTTATTGATTGGTTGATTAAAAATTTCACACAAAGTTTAGGAAAAATAAATCTTTGGAAAATTTACAAATCGAATTCGAATTGTATACTTCAATAAGAATGTAAAACATAACAAAAAAAATTTAAATTTTGTGGCGGAAGTAATTTGCAACTTTCTTTTCTTGTTCTGTGCTATCCCCAAGAAGCAACACATTCCACAAGGAACACAATACAGTCAAAGGTCGAAGCTGGGAGCCAAAAGCACCGGTCTTTTCTACAATTGTATTCTGCTTTAGCAACGAACCGGCTTTTGACCGGATCTTAACCGAGCAACATAAGATCAGTAGCTTCGATCTCCAGTCCGCACAAGTACATTCGCTGGTTTTGTTTCCACACAAAGGAGCTCATACTGTTCTCTACCAAAACAATTCCAGGCATCTTGCTCCGGTCTCCACAGCTTAACTCTGGAACTGCTTGTTTGATCGATTGATGCATAAGAGAAGATCTCCGAGCAACAAAGTCTCTGTAGCTTGAAGAAGATGGGACATCGGAAGCTGCGTGAGTTAGAACCACGATCATCAACAGAGTTTCCTTCACTTTCTACCAGAAAATCAACAGAGTTTCCTTCACTCTCTGTTAGAACCACGATCATCAACAGAGTTTCCTTCACTCTCTGTTAGACTTTATGACGAGGTTAGTTTCTTTCAAACGAATCGATATTCCCGGGGTTAATCTGTTTTGTTACAGTGCTTTTGTTATTTACCCGCCTAGACTTTTATCCGTATAATGTTTATCATTTTTAAACAGAGTACATATACGTTTTGATGTACATGAAAACAATGAAGTACATCACGGTCCAAGGATTGTATAAAGTTTTGAAAAGAGAAAAGTGACTAAAATGTAACCAAAAAGTATAATTTCCTCTTTTTATTTTTCTGAAATGATAAGTGTACAAATTACTTTTGTTATAAATGTAATGTGCAACTCTAACTTTTTTTGAGAGGTCTTTTCTAGAAAGATAATAACATTTTTATTTCTCTTAGAAATTAATGATTTCCTATTTTAACATTAATTTCCGTTTTTCCCTTAGGCTCGTTAATTTTCATTACATGTATAAATAAACCCTAGCATGAGTCGATCTCATCAAAAAAATTTTTTGAGCGAACCTTATTATCACCAAAACTCCGACATGACTTTCAAAAACTTAATCCTACATATTCGCGACGCAATAGTCGTATTAATAAGCCTCCTCGTCATACTCATAGGTCTATTGTACCTCGGGTCTTCTTACCCGTCCAAGCCACGCTTCATACTCCAAGACGCCACCGTCTTCTCCTTCAACGTCACCGGAAATCCACCGAGCTTCCTCACATCCCGTATCCAAGTCACTATCTCTTCTCGTAACCCAAACAGCATTAGAGGAATCTACTACGACCGTCTCAACGTCTACGCTTCTCACCAGAATCAAGTGATCACTAGTGCGACGAAGATGCCGTCGACTTATCAAGGACCCAAACACGTCAACGTCTGGTCACCTCTCATCGTTGGAAATTCCGTCCCCGTCGCTACGTACAACGATACGTCTCTTGCATGTGGCAAAATCAAGTTTATGGTCCACATCGACGGTCAAGTTCGTTCGAAATTCCTGAGTCTTATCACCGCCGGGACATATTATGTCAACGTTAGGTGTTCGGTGGATATCCACTCTGGGGATAGCGCCGCCGGAGCTAACGTCGGAAATAACGCCCCAAAGTATACGCTCAACGCCACTTGCAATTGACTGAAAAGGCGACGATTTTCTTTTTTATTAAGCCCTATTATATATTTATAATAATAACTTCATTAGCCATAAAGTTTTTGTTATCTATTTATTAGCAAGAATTTACATTCGGTTGCGTCATTATGACGGAACTGCAAAGATTGGAAGAGTAACACAATATTTTATTAAAAAAAAGTTTATGTTTATTTCGTGGCTATTGATGATCGTTGATTAAACTGAATACTTTTGCTTTTCTCAAGAATGATAATGCAATAATGATCAGTTTAATTGACTTTGATTTTTGAGATGATCCAGTGTGATGACAAGTGAGTTATTATCAATTAAAAAGTGAATTACTTAGTCGGCAAGATAAACGCACGTCTATTACAACAGGTTTAAGCGCTTGGTTTAGGTCCTTAAGACATTAGACAACATCACGGTCCACCGGACCATTACAACAGACATGGATCCTCTAATCCTCATCAACATCTTCCCTTCTTGTTGTTCTTCGTGCTTTCTCTAGTCTTCAGTGGCAAACCCTGTGTGCAAATCAGATGTCGAGCCTTATTGTTGCTTGGAACCTAAGTCTTCCTCTTCTTGTTCTCACATGACTAAGAAGAACACTTCCTTTTCCCCAACCTCTGTCGATTTCTTGGTTTTCACGTCTTTTTCTTCTCTCTTCGTCTTCTGGTTCTTGCTCGAGACATTCCAGACTCTATTCGTCCCAGAGGATTTCGGGGTAAGAATCCAGTAAACGCCTCTTCTTCTCCTCCTCCTCCAAATCATCATGCGAATGAGAAGAAGATATTCAGCTAATTTGACACTTTCCAAGAATTCGAATGTTTATTGGGAAACAGTTTGGATACTTTGTATAAGAAATCAATCTTTATTTCCTTTCAAGAGACCTTCGAAAAAGACATTTCATCGGAGAAATAAAGGAGCCTCAAAAAAAAAACATAAACATTGCAGCAAATCCAAACGATGCCATATCTTCTCTCTTTCAACAAGAGGGAAACCATATTGCATCAGATCTAACTTGGTCTAAAATATTCGTAAAAAAGTAATTAAAACAAAACAAAACAAAATAACAAAACACAACCATTGTAGTAGATAAAAGAACAGCTTCCGTGTTCAAATCATAAATCTCTCTTTGCAAGTTTTCTTCACTTGGCGCTGGCGAGCTGGGAGCGGATGAGCTTGGCCGCATCAACCATGTTCTTGAGCGCAGGCTTAACCTCGGTGTACTTACGGGTCTTGAGACCACAGTCAGGGTTAACCCAAAGGATGTTCTGCTCAAGAACAGCAAGCATCTTGTTGACCCTGTCTGCGATTTCCTCGGAAGATGGTATTCTTGGGGAGTGGATGTCATAGACACCTGGACCAATACCAGCACCGTACTTGACTCCCTCACGGAACACAGAGAGAAGCTTCTCGTCGGAACGGGAGTTCTCGATGGTGATGACATCAGCATCCATGTCGATGATGGAGTGTATGATGTCGTTGAAGTGAGAGTAGCACATGTGAGTGTGGATCTGCAAATAAACCAACCAGACGAAGAAGAAGAAGTTAAAGCTACTGATGAAAAAGCATTTAACTTCAAGGGCAAGAGACTCGAGCGATGTGTTTATAGGAAGCAAACCTGGGTGCTGTCTTGGACGCCACAGTTGGTGATTCTGAAGGAGTGAACAGCCCAGTCCAAGTAGAAAGCGTGCTCGGATTTCCTGAGTGGTAGTCCTTCCCTTAGTGCAGCCTCATCAATCTGAATCACACCAATGCCACCCTTCTCGAGGTCCTCTACTTCGTCCTTGATGGCCAAAGCGATCTGGTAACAGGTTTCGTGCCTACAAAGTTTCCAAATATATATACATGTTTTAGTGATATTTTTGCTTTTGCTTTTGTTTGTGAATCTGTGATTTTTTAGGACTTAAGGTATTTTTCTTTATGTACCTGGGCTGGTCGTTTCTGACAAAGGACCAGTTGAGAATGGTGACGGGGCCGGTAAGCATACCCTTCATTGGGCGAGAGGTCATGCTCTGAGCCATTGCGGACCAGAAGACGGTCATTGCCTTGGGACGGCTCACATCACCGTAGATAACTGGTGGCTTCACACACCGAGATCCGTAAGATTGTACCCATCCGTTTGCAGTGAAGGCAAAACCAGACAACTGCTCCCCGAAGTACTCAACCATGTCGTTTCTCTACAATATTGTTGAAACATGTCTCGTCAGAAACATTAACAAAAAGTACCAAATATAGCTTTGTATATTACATAGAAAATTAAGAAACAAAAAAAGCTCACCTCTGGCTCTCCGTGGACAAGAACATCGATGTCAAGTTCCTCTTGGAGGTCAACAACTTTCTTGATCTCTTCCTTGATGGCCTTAACGTAGTCCTCCTCAGAAACCCTAAGAAAAGAGAGATCAGTGAAACCGTTAGGATCATGCACTTTAAGGACATACTAGCGATTTAATGTAGGAGACTTACTTCTTGGCCTTGTACTCTCTGCGAACTCTCCTGAGCTCTACGGTCTGTGGGAAGGAACCGATGGTTGTGGTTGGAAGGATTGGGAGGTTCAGCTTCTTCTGCTGAGCATCTAGCCTAGCACTAACATTGGTTGCACGACGGTGGTCGGAGCCCTTGAGAGCAGCAGCCTGAGAGAACAAGAATCAGAAACAAGTCGATCAATAAATTATTAAGATATCATTGAATGTGAATACGGCTTAGGTTTGATGTCAAACTTACAGCCTTCTGAACACCCTCGTTGGTGACTCTTGGGGAGGACCTCCTCGAAGCCAAAGCAGCAGCGTTGGCAGAGAATAGGGCCTGAAAGAGAAAACAATATTAAAATTCTAGTGTTTACCAAATCATTTACATTATTATTCAAGTATTCAGTAAAGAAGCATGTGGGTAAAATTTCTGCAAAGAATACCTCATCCTTTTGACCAGCCAAAGCCTTGGCCAATGCGTTCACTTCAACGACCTTCTGGGCAGCAAACGCCATCCATGACTTGATTTCATCGTCAAGCTTAGTCTCATTGATAAGATCGACGGCGGTGTGGAGAAGAGAGCAGGAGGTTGAGACCACAAGCTTGTCTGCATCAATGTCGAAAGATAACCAATCAGCATTACAAATATTTGTTTTAGAGTACTGCCCTATATTGCCAGGTAAAAGGCCGATCATTCTGGAAGGACATATTACCTTTTCCAACAACACCCTCAAGTGCCTGCAAGGTGCTGAGGGACGCAGCAAAGTCATTGGCCCAGATGTTCCTTCCATCAACAACACCAGCAAAGAGGTACTTTCCCTCGGGGAAACCTGCCTTGACCAAATCAAGGGTCTTTGTGCCACGGACCAAATCAAATCCAAAGGCGGTCACACCCTTCAACGAAGTTAGGGTCTTGTATGCTTCAGCAGGGATGTCAGCGAAGTAGGTCTCCACAAGAACATTCAAACCAGAAAGAGTTGATTCGAGTTCAGCATATGCTCCAGTAAAGGCCTGGAGTTTGTGGCCCTCAAGATCCATAACAAGGACAGGCTCATCAAGCTGAATCCAGGTGGCACCAGCTGCCTTAAGCTCGGAAATCACTTCCCTGTACACAAATATAAGTCATTTCAATGGTAAGTCAGAGGAACATTCATAACAACAAGAATATTGATGGAAAAAACAAAGAAAAAAAACAGAGTGATTTCTTACTTGTAGACAGCGAGAACTTTGGGGAGAAGAGAAAGAAGGTCAAATGACTTCTCCACACCCTTGGCAGCCTTAGAAAGCAACAAGTAAGAGACTGGGCCAACAAGTACAGGGACGGTGTCAACACCAAGCTGCATAAACATAAAGTTCATCAGATCAGAACTTTAAATAGCAGAAGAAAAATAAACTATTTAAGTGTAACAAGAAAAACAGAAGAGTCATTCATTTCTAAAACTAACTGTGGCTTGTAAATATGCAGGTATATCATATTCTTAACGCATTTAACGAATCAGCATCCTATGTGAAACGCCATTCAATGAATGTAAGCAGAAACACTAAAGCCTATGATCTCCAATAAAATAAATCCTCGACCAGACATAATAATTTCTTAATAAATGTATAATAGTGAAGAATGGTACGTACTGCCTTGGCCTCCTTGTACTCATTCACGGCCTTGTGAGATGCGTAGGAAAACTTGACATCAGGGCCCAACTCAGGGACGATGTAATGGCTGCATAAAAAATAAACGTTATTACATTAGACCACAACTCAAAACAGAATCCCCACAAACAACGTCACTGCAATAGACAAAAGAGAGCGTTCGAGAGACTCACTAGTTGGTGTCAAACCACTTGGTCATTTCCATGGCGGGCACAGAGGCGTTTCCTCTGGCCATGGAGAAGTAAACATCTAGCCCGATCTCACCACTGGTGTATCCGTATCTGGGTGGAACAGCGCCGAGCATGGCGGTGGTGTCGAGAACCTGGTCGTAGTGAGCAAAGGTGTTGCTTGGGATAAACTTGGTCCCGGCCTCAGACATCTGTTTCCAGATGGACGACCTGAGATCAGCCGACACCTTCTGAAGATCCTCAGCAGTGCTCTTGCCATCCCAGAAGGATTCCAATGCAAACTTGAGCTCTCTCTTAGGGCCCATACGAGGATATCCAACAATGTGTGACGCCATTTTTGATTTTCTTTAAACTGCAACAAACAGAGTCGAAATCGAGATCAATATTTATATTGTAGATATAATACCTTTTTTTTTACAATTAACTTTTTAATACATAGAATATTGACGCTAAGTTTCATACTCCAAGAAAGCGGCAACGAAGCTGACAGAATTACATTTCACGTGTTCAAAAAAAGGTGAAAAAGTTATGAAGCTTTTGTCGTATTTATGATTGAGATAAGCAAGACGAGTACACTTCAAAGTAGAATCGATAACTTTAGATCAAATCACATGCAGCATTCGAGCCCTACGAGATGATACAAAGCGGATCTAACGCATAAGAACAGAGAACACCAATCATTTTCAAAGATCGCAATCAGATCCAGAACCAGATCTACAAATCGAATGACACCAAAAACTCAGATCTGTGATCGATGAACTCCTCACCGTTTAGATCTCAGTGAAAATAGACAAGACGAGCAAACAGATCGTGGGAGAAATCGAATCAAAATACGATAACCAAACAAATCACTTAATATAAGTAATAAACAACGTAAGTGTTGACGAAAACGAAATGAAAAGCAGCGAAGAAGCTAAATAAGGGAGACGAGGGGAAGCCATAGAAACTCGGAGACGTACCTCACGGAGGAAGAATCGGAGAAGAGAAGGAAAAAAAAAGGGTTGGCTACAAAGGAGAGAAGGCGAGACGAGAGAGCGAGGAAGAAGAGTGGGCTGTGTGAGTTTATTTATAGCAAAACAAAAATGATAGATCGTTGGGCTTCGTGTATGTGTAGATCTGGTGGTGGTGGATATTTTCGGCATAATAATTAATTATACTTATTTATTTTTTTCCCGCTTTTATTTATTATTTTACGTGTATTTTTTTTTTCTTAAAAAGCTGATATTTTTCAACAACATTTTAAAAGTAGAGTATTATTATGGAAATTTTACTGTATTCAAAGTACCGTCCCTGATCTGATTCCTCTCCGTTCTGTCCCGCCTTCCCCTATTCGGAACCGTAAACATATACAGTATATTAAAGGGATTATGCCCTCAAAAAAAGGAAAAATACAACTATTTCATACTGAAATGATCTATTAGTACGATGCAAAACACCTGGATTAATATCTGTTTTCGTATGAAAAGAAAATTAATACTGGAATCTTCTATACAATGTTTAAATTACCAGGTGACTAAGAATTTTTTTCCCTCGATACATATTTAGTTTGATATGTTTTTTATAGTTTCAAAAAAAAAAAATAGTCGGCATGTATGGGTTGTTATTCTAAAACGAATTTAAAGATAATAATTGACAGAAATACCTTAAATTACAATTATAATCGGTATATTCGGTTTCGATCATTAGGGTCCAATCATTTTAATTAAACGTATTTATAAAAGTATATTAAAGAGATTAAGTAGAGGATTAAAACGTGAAGGGGAGTTGGTGTGTACCGGGATCGATTAGTGGGTGGCATGGGACCCACGGAGGTTGGTGGAGATTCACATTTCACCGTAAAGTTTCTATTAATAAATACGACGGCGTTTAGTGTCAGCACGAAGAGTGTCGAAAATCGAAATTCAGGCCTTTTCGGCAGCGTTTTTGGAAACCTATGTAGTGGACTAGACTATTATTTTTAAAAAGAAACAAAATATATATCAAATCTATACAATTTGACTATTGAATTCAATCGAATTTGAATATACATCTTACTCATAAGTCAAAACAATAAAAGTTTTGCTACTTCACATAATTTAATTTTTAGAATAAATAAATATACATATTTTTGGGGTCAAATAAACATACATATTTATACATAGATTATAAATGGAAAAGAGAAATAATATTTTTATCTCTTACTTTGTAACTTCTCAGCTTACAATTACATCTGATCAGTTGTTTTTGTTACACAGAAACCAGTGTTTAAAACATACAAGAAAAAAAATGATACACATGCTCATCTCTAAAATTAATCAGCCTTTCAGAAAAAAATGAATATGCGATACTAAATCTTAAATACAACATGTCCGATAATAATCGACTTGGACAAACAAGAATATTGTGTTCGGTGAATAGAGTAGGTAAAGACTAAAGAATGAGGGATTATGGACCCACATTATATATAATATTGTTTTAAGATTCATAAACAGAGTGATGAGTGGTCTTCATCTTGTGTTGTTTGCTGATAATTTGGCCACCAAACATTGATTCTTAACTTTTATTAACTTCATCGCTTACCTTAATCTACATGTTGCTTTCTTCATCTAATCTAAATTTTGAATCTCTTATGTTTTCTTAACGTCATCTTGTTGAAGAGTTTAAAGATCTTTAAACCCTCACTTGTCCTCATGAATCCTGCGTTACACACTAAGAACCTACGAAATATAAATATGCATAGTGGTGGGATCACTATGTTTTTTTATCTACCAATCATTAATCTTTTTATTTTTATTTTGTAATTCAAATTTCAAAGTTTATTGAAGTATAACCATAGTAAAACACTACTTGATAATTATAAGCTCTTTTGCGGGACTCATAGGACTATAAAATTGTGTTTAACCAGTTCAGTAACTTGTTTGGACATTGGCAATTGTGCAGGTCTATTTTGAGTTTTAAGAATAATAGATGAAGAAAGATGCTGTTGCGAACGGAGAAAACAGTCAACAAAACGCTGTTTTTTCCTTATCAATGTCAACAAGATATAGTGGAGTATTTGACACAACAGGTTAAAATGAGTTATATAATGTGTGCAGGAGTGATAATCTTTAACCATTAGTTGTCAATCACAACACATAAATCGGGCAACAGTTACCAGAGACTTTAAGTAGCAAGACAACTGCATATGCTTCCTTAATGCTGGCTTGTCGGTGGATTCAGATCTAGTAGCAAATAATATATAGTACTAACAAAAGTCACACGAGCATTTAATGAAAAAGAACATTTTAATTTTATTGACCTGCAACGCAAACAGTTATTTACTACTTTAAACAGCCCAAAAGCAAAAATAAGAATTTGTAATGTATGTACCTTATGAAATAATTGAGCTACTTCGTACGTGTGTTGTGACAAATTAGGACCATATATTATATACCGTATTTTACACATTTTTTTTTGGCCATCTTTAGTTTGGTAGATCGTATATATTATAAACGAACCACAAGATCCAAAAACTATCCTTGTGGCTGGCTTCTAAAACTTTGTGATTTTAAATTATGAAAAGGATGCTTTTAGCCATGTGAAGTGTGAACTAATAAAGCGATATACATATACATTATGACTCAAAAGTCGATAATTTAAACAATTTGTAAAGTTCTTAAGCTACAGAAGCTATTCACCTAAATCTCAGTCATAAGGCTTCATGTCAGGCCGCTTCATGATAAATAAGAGAATAAAAGTTGAAAATGAAAGCCACAGAGCTTGTTAATTTTAACGGTAATAACTGTCTTAGATAGAGAGAGTCAATTCCTGTAAATCACAATGCTTACCTAGCTAGAGTTGAATTGAATCAACACTAATTCCTATAAATTCCGAACCAAATCCCTTACCCGATTAGATGAAAAAAGGATGAGAAAAAATGATAGAACAACTCTAATTCACAATGTTCAAAGAAAAATCCAAACTGCAATACACTTTTTCTCAATTCTCAGGTTCTATACACAATAATTTAAGAACAAATCCAAAAAAGAATATTTAAAGTGACAAACCAAAACCTTTAAAAAAACTCAAAACAGTTTCAAGAGACACAAATCAATAAATATGAAAGCTGAAAGAGGAGAACATAACCACAAACACACAAAAACCAGGAAAAAAAAAGAGAAAACTCTACAAAAAATGATTAACGGTTTCTTCTTGCCCCTTTTTAAAACAGAGCACACAGTCCGATATTAAAAAAACAAAACCCAGAAGTGCTTATCATTACCGCGTAACAAACATATATTTACTTACGCTGAGATGTATTATCCTTGGATTTTTCAATCTGAGTCACTCGAGCTAGAACTTGAGCTTGAGCTCGAGCTTGAAGAATTAGATTCACCCTTCTTCTTCTCTGTCTTTCCTTTTTGCTCAGCAATGCTTTCCCCTGAACTCCCTGGAGTTTCTTTGGTCTCGCGACTCTGGACATTAGCATCAGCGTTGCTTGCATTCTCAACTTTTGCTTCCTCAGTCACAACTTCAACACTTAGTGTCACATTACTAGAGTTTGCATTCTCCCCTGAATTCTCTGGAGTTTCTTTGGTCTCGGGACTCTGGACATAAGCATCAGCGTTGCTTGCGTTCTCAACTTTTGCTTCCTCAGTCACAACTTCATCGCTTAGTGTCACATTACTAGAGTTTGCATTCTCCCCTGAATTCTCTGTTGTTTCTTTGGTCTCGCGACACTGGACATTAGCATCAGCGTTGCTTGCATTCTCAACTTTTGCTTCCTCAGTCAGAACTTCAACACTTAGTGTCACATTACTAGAGTTTGCATTTTCCCCTGCATTCTCGGGAGTTTCTTTGGTCTCGGGACTCTGGACATTAGCATCAACGTTGCTTGCGTTCTCAACTTTTGCTTCCTCAGCCACAACTTCATCGCTTAGTGTCACATTACTAGAACCAATGGCTTCTGTGGGACCCACCACTCTTTCAGAGATGACTTCCACTTCATTGGCAGTGTCTGATCCTACTAAAGATTGCCCAGGTTCAGAATCTGTCATAACTTCCTTAACACTGAAGTCTCCAATCGTGTCAAGTTCGGACAACAATCCTTCATCAATCTCTTTTATCTCGTCTGCCTCTTCAGTGATAACTTCAGGAAGACTTTGAGATATTGCATGTAAATCCGTAAGATGATCTAATCGCTCTACCGCATGGTCAAACTCGTCATAAACAGTCTCTTGGAAGAACTCCGCCCTTGAGCCTTCACCAACCATAGGTGTTTTGTACTCGGGAGACTCTGCTGGAGATGACGATGTGTCAGACGTCAAACTAGACAACTCGGCTGTATCCTCAGGAGCATCATGATATTCGTGGAAAGTGATGTTGCGGGAAAAGACCACACTCACAGGAGCTGCACGAGCTGGTACCTGCAATAAAACAGCACAGATCTCCTGCTTAGAAAATTGTAGAAAGAACTAAGAAGTCCAAACATTTTGAGGCATCAGCCTGTTGGTATTTCCCGTTCCAACTAAGAAACCACAAATCAAGATCACATTCCATTATCAAATAGGACATGAGAATAAGAAAACAGGACAAATATGAGATTGGGTAGAATATGTGTCGTTGGACATGTATCAATGCACCACTAAGTAAACGATCCCGTATATTCTTTTTACTATTTATAGGTTATGATGTTAAGTATATCACATAGGTTATCTTGAACTTAGAAGAGAGCAGTGGAAGATGGTATGTTAAACTTATCAGATAAATGTTGTTATGATGGCATCTAAGAGAGAAGATGAGTTCCATGACTTACTTGATCTTCACCAGGTTGAAGAGATGACTGTTCTACCACAGATTTATCTGACCAGGTCAGTTCTCTATCTGATTCAGATGGAGTCGTTTCTTCTGATCTCACATTCTGGACACTAGCATTTACAGAATCTACTTCGATATCCATAGTTTGATTAAGGTGAGTTTCTTCCTTGGCATCAGAAATTGATGACTGAACTGGATCTTGTACCGACTGTGGAACATCTTCATCATTAAATGAATGCGTCTCAACATACTCAACTGCTCCAGAAGACAAAGTGGAGTAACTGTCTATTGGGATGTCGGCATTAAATGTTTCAGGACTGGCTTCCTCTTTTTGTTCCTGGGCTTCCTCTTCATCGTGCATTATTGACCTGTTTATTGAAGTCTCAGCTATGTCATGTACCACATCAGGAGATTCTTCCAGTGTTGTGACATGATCCCTCGTGTTAACATATCCCAAAGGTGAACTTGTATGCTCAACTGGGAGATGTTTTTCAACTATCCCTATCGATACTGATTCATCTTCTAAAGGAGAAACAACGTCCACCAAAGATGCACTAACATCTAGCGCTCTGGTATCTACGGCCTCTTTCACGTCTTCATGCAGATTTTCCAGGTCCTCTTGACTAGACAAAGGGTTATCTTCCTGGTGATCAACATTCTCCTTTTTATCCAAAGGCTTAGAAGATGGATCAAGTAAGGCATCCTCAAATTCAGACCCTAGAACAGTTGAGTTATTTTGACCATCAATTCCAGCATCTGCAGTGAGAAAGCTTGCCTCTCCTGTAACATGCGTGCTAGTCTCTCCGACTTCCTTTGTACTTGTTTCCGTCACATCAGAAGTGGAACAAATTTCCGTCGGATCTCTGCTTTCTGCATTTTCTTGTACTTCTTCTCCATTCTTTCCAGGTAGGTCTGGTTTGTAATCAGACGATACGGAAGAAAACGATGGGAATCTACTACCTGAGGGAGGACTCGAATCATAAACAGGTTCTTCGTGGTGTTCGTTCACCAAACCACAAAGATCATGAATTGCTGACTCGTCCAGCGAAGGGTGCGCAGTAATGAAAGACTCCTCAGCAGGCGCTTCATCATGGCGATAATCCTCCTCCACCCCTCTTGCCACATGGAATTCTAATCCTCCAAAAGAAGGCTGGGAAGAAATACTTGATTCTTCATGAAGATCAACTTCTCGTTCTGAATTCAACATTTCCTCATTCTCACTAATATCTGGTACCTCTTCTTCAATCTCTGATAACGATGAATCACTATCACTGGAATCCTCTTCATCATGTTCAGTTTTATCAGAAGTTTCTCCTTCACTCATGTTTAATTGCTCATGGTGTGTTTCTCCACTTCCTAGTATTATCTCAGCCACATCATGATGAAGATTTCTGCTATCAGCTTGCTCATCAAAATCGGAATTTTTTGATGAATGACTTTTTTCTTCATCATGGTCAGAAGCCGAATCGTTTTTCTCTTCATCACGGTCAGAAACTGAATGGATTTTTTCTTCATCATGGTCAGACGCTATATCAATTTTGGGGATGTCATCTGCCTTCTTTTCATCATCTTCCAAGATTGTGCACACGGATTCAGTATCAGGAACGGAACTAACCTTTGATTCACTAACTTCGCTAAGCTGCCTTTCAAATGGATAATAGCTCGTTCCCTCATTCGCTAATCTTTCTAACACAAAGAAAGGTCGTAGTCTATCATGTCTAGGACCTCCAAGCATTGATGGACCTACACTAAAACTCTCATGTCTTCTGAACACTGCATCTTTTGGTTGTTGAGAAGAGAACTCTTCCTCAAAACTGTCACCCTTGAGGTCTGGCTTTTCTTCATTTGGCTCATATGGAAGATCAAATGGGTTTCTCCTCGCTAACATAATTGACGGAGCAGAGCCAGGGATAGGTGGTAATCCCATATCATCATAAGGATCATAAGAATGATCAAATGGATTCTGCCTTGCAGTTGAGATTGGCGGCATATTAAAAGGAATATCAGCACTGTCAAAATCAATCAGATTTCTCTCTGCCATCAATCTCATGTTGTGGCGAGCCCTTCTCCTAGCAATAAGATTCTCAAGCCGCTGGTTTCTTTCAAGCTCGAGACTCCCTAGATCCATGACATTTTTTTGGTCAGCCTCTGTCCATTTGATTGCTGATTTATTCTCATCATCCTTCTCTTCTTTCTTTTCCTCTTCCTCTTCTTCATCCTCGTCCTCCTCTTCGTTCTCGTTGTCACCCTCTTCTCCATGACTTTCACTGTCAACATCCGACTCCATTCCTTCATCACTACTACTCATATGAGGCCCCTCTGAAGCTGCATCTGATCCTTCACCATCTGCAATACCATGATCTGCACCGCCTGAGTGTAAAAGAGGGTGAAGCTCATCAAGCATCGGGATGATATCTGTCATAGAAGGATCAGGTGAAGAACTTTCCGCACCATCAGACCCAGAATCCAGTGAGTCATCACGGTCGGCATCATCATCCTCGTCCTCATCATGCCTCATCGATCTCCAAGGTGAAACTGGAGACACATCCACCTGATCTTCCTTTGAATCGTCCATCATTTCATCTAAAGACACACCCGAAACTTGCTTCCCACTATTTTCAAGCAATTTCTCATCATCTCCCCTCTTCTCCACCTCCAAAATATATGCTTTCTCCTCAAACCTCACCTGAGTATCCCGTCTGACCTCATCAAGAGTCTCATCAACCAAAGGCCTGTAATCAAACGGTCGAACATCGTCCTCAACCTCACTCAGTTGGTTTTCCCTTAATCTATCAGCATCATCATTTTCATCCCCAAGTGCATCTTTCTCAGTGCTCACGAAACTTTCTACCGTAAAACTCTGATCGCCTCTCTCAACAACAGTAGCATCCCTCGAAACCTCAGTTCTGAAAAGAGCAGCCTCGTGGACAGTCTCCGGTTCTTTCTCGATCTCAGGGATGTTTGGTTCTCCGAAGCTCAGAATTGTTCCAAGCAAAACGAAAGTGCAAACCAAAACAGGAGATGCAGCCACCAACGGAGAAAACAAAAGAGGGCAAGTTCGATGCAGAAAGTACAAAAACCCAACAAAGCCCAGGAGAAAGGGATGATTGCAGATCCATCTGTAGAACGCTCTGATCATTACGACAAATAATCTCCGTGTCTGAACTCTGAAGTCCGACCGATCACTGATCATCTTTATTTCTCCAGGTTGGTTTCTGTATCAGAATTAAGAGCAAAAAATCACGATATCAGATGGTGAAGAAGATTCATACAAAAACGATGTTAAGAGCTTTACACAGTTCACATATTCAAATATATAAAAACAAAAATCAAACAGCTCGCAGTTTTGATCGTATTTATGATTGAGGTAAACAAACAAGATGAGTCCAATTCAATGTACAATCGAAAACTTTAGATCAAATCACACGCAACGTTAAGAACACGATATCAAACGATAAATAATTCTCTCCGAGGTAATTAAAAAAAAAAAATCGGATCTAACGAAAACGAGCCCAGAAAAGGCAACAATTGTGAAGATGGCAACGAGATCGCAATCAGATCCGCTAATCGAATAACAGAAAAATACCGAAATCTGTGGCTGGGTAAAGTCACTCACCAGGTACGAGCAAACAGATCGCTGAGAAATAAAAATCAAACAAAATATCACTTGGTAAGCCTTAAACAAGTAATAAGGAAGAGAGGAAAAGTGAAATGAAAACAAAATAAGAGAGGGAGGATACGTGGGGAAGCCATGGAAACTCGGAGACGTACCTTACGGAGCTAGAATTGGAAAGAGAAGAAAATGGTTGACTATACGAGAGAGAGAGAGTGAGCGAAGAAGAAGAAGAGGAAGAGTGGGCTATGTTGTTTTGTTGTTGGCTTTTCTTTACAGCAAAACAAATCATAGATCGTTCATCGTTGGGCTGCTTTCGGCACAATTATTTTATTTCAAATTCTTATTTGCCAATTATTATATTCACATAAACGCGGTTTTTTCTTTCTTTCTGTAAGCAAAATTATTTATAAATCAATGATATAAAATATATTGTTGTAAGTTGTAAGATTACTGCGACAAGTCAGTTAAAACAGCCTTAACCAAACTTAGCATTTTTAATACGTTTAGCAAATACGGTGGCTATGTTTCTACAACATATATCAACTTTGCTACATTCTATATAGCGTTTATATCAACCAAATGGATCATACAAAGTCATTCCAAGTCCTCTGTTTTTCCCATAAACGGAAACAAACATTTGTGTATAAACGTGTGAAAACTTGAAATGCGGCTTGAGAGTTGAGACTCAAAAGCACAAATCGGGGAGGCAAACTCTGGTGTATTTTTCCTAAGTCAATACTCTTGGTTTTAGGATTATCCAGCATGTTATATAAACCATTCCTTTGGTCTGTTCCGATCAATGGCAATTTGATTTTTGTTTATAGTGTGCCTGTGAAATTCAGAGCTATGCATATCTATCTTGAAAATGAAATTACCATCAGACTACTGCCTTGGAAATAACTGAATAAAGATGCTTTCGTCATACAAGTAGAAACATAGAACGATATTTCGAATGATCCCATAATTATTCCGATACAAAGGGACAAGATGTCTTATATATTGTCCACGAGCTTATGGTAGTCACAAAGCAATATCATTAACTACTGCGATTTTAGAGTACTCAGACATAACTGAGTCAAATGCATTTTTACTACAACGTACCACTTTGGATCAGTTTTGGCTTAAACTCGGATCAAATGTTGGCGCGGTTTAGGTCTCCCAGTCTTTCATCTTCTTGCTCCCCTTTGGTTTTGCAATAGGAGCATCCATGCCTGCCATTTTCTTGTTGTACTTTTCGCGTAAAGGATCATTGGAAGTCCACCTGCACAATCATTTATCATGCAAAAACAAACTCAAAAATCTGCAGCTCCATAAACGAATAAACAGATTCTCCCAATATAACCCAGTTTCACGTTTGCATGCAATGATTTAGTTCACTTCTCAGCTTAATGTTTCTACTCAAATGAAGCCTAAACGAGAGCTATTTTTTTCATATCAAAAGTCTATGAGTAACCAAGTGTCAGAAAATAAACGCTGAAAGCAGAAAACTTACGGGTTACTCCAATCTGTTGTGTCCTCATTGACAAGGTGAGTCCATTTAGTTCTTCCACTGCGACCAAAGTGCTTGACCTGCATGACTTTGGGCAGAATCGATTTGTCCAACCTATCGTCTCCAGTAGGAGCAGAGAAGTCCCGCTGAAATATACCGTCGGTTCCAACAGAACCTGCCTCGTCATCAGGATCTGCCTGGAAGAAAGCACCCTTGTGGTAGTATTTTTGCATGAAGTTCCATTTCTTCTTCGGTTGAGTTGACGAAGGTTTCGGATTCTTCCTCTCCCAGTCTCTCCTCTCCTGCTCTGTCATGTTCCTCAGCTTCTCTACTTCTTCCCTCTCTCTCAACATAGCTTCCTTTGCATCTCGCTCTCTCTTGATCCTAGCGATCTCTCTCGTCTTCCAGACTTCGTACTCCTCAGCTTCATTGATTTCGTCATCAGTTTCCACATCTCCGATATTCGCTTCCGCCAATAGAATGTTCTTCCGTATCTCTTCATCTTTCCTAACTTCCTCAACCACTATTTGCTTTGTCTCTATTTTTCTCATCTCCAGTTTCTTCCTTGCTAACTCCTCGAGAGCTAGTTCTTCAGCCTCAAGCCGCTCACGCTCTGCCACCGTGTCTCTCTCAGCTTTTGGCACAAAAACAGGCTTGATCATGGTAATCCCGGGCATCTCGTCCTCTGAATCAGTCTCGTACTCGGACGACTCCTCTTCCTCCTCTTCATCTTGTAGCTCTTCTTCATCTTCTAAAGGATGCAGAGCAGCTTCCTCTTGCTCCCTTTTGATATTTTTTTCTCTGATTCTTCTTCTTCTTTCTTCCAGGGCATCTTCGTCTTCTTCCTCGTCTCTAGTCTCTTGATTCTTCAGTTCTTCTTCTTCTGTAGATATAATCTCAGCCTGCCTAACTCGCCGATGATCGGCTCTAACCTCTTCACGGTTTTCAATCCTGGTCTGAGCTAGACGACGCAGCCTCGGATCATCCTTCCTAGCAACCCCCAAATCATCATCATGCTTTGGAAAAGCTCTATCCAAAACATCAACCTTCTTCATCCTAACATCCTCATCTTCTTCGGCTTCATCGGCCCACTCGGGAGCTTTTCCAGGCCAATACCTTTTCACTTTAGTCTGTCCGATCCCACCTCGTAGTTTTGCCCTGGTAGCAAGTGCAGCCTCACTCACTCCCGCTGTGACAGACATCTTTGCACTAGCGAGCGATCAAACTCTGGCTACTTGTTTCTGCAGCATGAAAGAAAACAAAATACATTAAAAAAAACGATATGAGATTCAAGCATTGCATCATTAGGATTCACCAGGAAAAAGAAACGACCTACTTTAAAATCAATACTCAAAAGGCTAAAATTCTTAATGAGGCAGCTTAAAAGTCGACAAAAAAGGCATTCTGCAAAATCTATATCAATGATATGTGTGTGTATAAGTATATTTCAAACTCATTCTGAATCTAACGTAGAGAAGCCAAACCCGTTCCACCAGAAGTTCAAAGAAAATGCAGAACAGAGGATGTAGAAGAGAGAAGACAGGTGCACAAGCATGAAAATAAGTTTTCCTAAAAGGAATCGGAATCAGACAAACGACCCCCGAGAAAATCGAAAATTGTAGATTTTCACAAAATGAAAGGCAATAGGGATCGATCTCTATAAAATCTGAGTCGTTTGTGTGCTGTCCAGAATACGAATCAGAAACAGACTAACTTCATTGGTTCACCAAGAGAGAGAACAAACCAAAAAAAATTCAAATCCAGTAGAAATTGACCACAAATAAACGAACTTACGCTTTGGAGAAACCTGAATGGAGGGAGAATAGAGGATCCCAATTCGACTAAACTCTGCGAAAGAAACCCTAAGAGTCGTGGCGGGACGACGGGGAAGAAGACGGTGGAGGTCTCGACTCTTGAGGCCGGAATTTGTTAACTAAAGAGACTCATTAGGGACTCTACTGGGCTATTATAGGCCTGTTAAATATTGGTTTATATTGGGCCTTCTATTTAACATCTCGATTTAAACTCTCCGTGGCACAACAACACACACTGGTTATTATTAACTCACTCGTAACAAAACAAATCTTTCGATATGTAAAAGAATGACAAAACGAATGTTTGCATAGATAAAGCATATGATGAAAGCGAAACAGTATTTTAACTGTATTGAAAGTTGAAAATTCTATAGAATAACTTGGGCTTCAAAAGAAAAAGAAAAAAAAAAAGAGTACAATTCGACAAACGTTACTGACAATATTTGTGTACAACAAGAGAATATTTATACAATTTTGCGTATTAGCCGCGGAGATTCTCCATTTGAGTTACAGCCACTTGTTCACGATCTGTTGACGTTTTCTTCTTCTTGTCTCTTCTAATTGTCCTCACCCACTTCCAAAGCATACTTCCCTTAGATCTCAGCTTACTACGTGGCTCGCTGGATGAAAGAGGACTGTGGCTCTTTGACTCTCCCACTATTCTGGAAGATGTTGGAGGATGATTCTCCTCAGTAGCACTTTCAGCTTCACTTTCTCTTGTGATTTCACTAGGTAATAATATTGTATCATCTGTTGGAGCCATAATGATCTCAACACCACATAAGGCCACCTTGCAATTATCACCTAAGCTAGCCTTGCTTTCCCAACTCACTGTCTCGAATTCAAATTCGACTTCATGAGCCCACAAATAGGGGTTTTCTTCACCAGTGAGATTCATTTCGGTATCATAGAAGATAAATAAGTGATCCCATTCAGCTTTTGGAGCTTCGGTCATGGCCCAACAGTGAAATAGTCTCTCTGTTTCTTTAAAGTTGCCGTTCCTGGCATTCCATGTGCATGTGCACCTAATCCCAAGACCTACGGTATTGTGGTAATCATCCCGGAATGACACCACAACTGACATAGCAACCCCAGAGATATGTTTTCGTGTCCAAGAAGCTAAATCTATAGTTACATTTGGACCTGCTTGCAAGCGAAAGTATGGTCTTTGACGTCCACCTATCGGAATACAAATGCTGAATTCAGAAGCTTTGATGATTTCCTGTTCAGAGAAAGGCCAATTAGGACATAACTTGTGTGCATGAAAATATATATGTCAAAGAGAATGAGAGATCAGGATGTAATTAAGCAAACCTGTTGTCTTGCTCTTGCTAAACTTGCTACTCGTGTAAGACCCTTCTCTAAGAACTCAGCGATCACTTGTGGGGGAATGTTATAACAGTTACTGAAGATGTAGTGCCTGGGAAGCTTCTCAAATTCCAACCGAACTGACTTCAGATACTTGCAACCATGTGCATTCAAGAGTTCTAGACTTTTGGGAAGTTGTGGCACTTCTTGTACTGCGGTGCCGCCAAGATATAGCTTTCTCAAATTTTTAGGGAAACCCTTAATTTCCTCAAGCTCTGAGCAGCCAGACAGAAGAAGAACTTGGATAGATTCTAGATTGACCATGTCAGGAAGACTTCTCAAACGAGAACAATCTTTCATGTTCAAGTGTACAAGCTTGCCAAAACCTTGATTATATGAGCTTACTTTAACCAGATCTGTTACACTCTCCAAGTCGATATGCTCAACATCCTGAAAGTTTTCTAGAAGACTCAAAAGCTTTTGTCGGTCCAGCTTAGTTTTTTGGGGGGAGTGGCAGCTCAAAATGGATATTGGTATTTCACTTATACTCGTTCCTTGGAGATGTAGTTCCTCAATATTTGGAGGAGATCCATGGAAACTTTTGATCTCTGTGCAACCTGTGAGATTTACAACTCTGAGATGTTGTAATCCACTCGTGTCGGGAAAACTTTTCAATCTTGTACAACCTTGGAGATCAATCAACTCGATATTTTTAGCATCTAGAAGTAAATCATCAATTTCAACTAACTGCTGAGAATGACAAAGCCTGATCCTCTTCAACATCTTAAGGTTCTGAAACCAAAAAAAGAAAGAAAAATAAACGAAAATAACAATGTTTTAAGTGGAGTTAAAAGGTCTAATAGAAAACACGAAATGGGTAGAGCTAAATTTGAACACCGGATTTGACCCACCTTGGTTCCTGTCCAGGGTGTCTGAAACCTGATCCTCTTCGTTATCTTAAGGTTCTAACCAACAACAAAAAAACAACTGAAATTTAGTACTAGTAATGTTTGAAGTGGGGGTTAACACCAGACTTAGCCTACCTTAGTTCTTGCCCAGAGTGTCTCAATCTTACTGTAAGGCAGACAAAGTTCAACAAGGTTGTCAAGGTCAAAATCTTCAGGCAAGTACTGCAAAAGATAGTTCTCCCAGTGGAGGAGCCTTAGCCCACAAGGCAGAGAATCAAGTCCCTTGGGAAAGTTGAGTCCAGGTCCTCCAGGAACATATTTAGAGCAAGAATTGTATATCTTCAGGAATTTGAGATTGAGCATATTCTTGAAGGCGTCATGTTTGACACCAAATTTCATGTTGGATGTGTCCAGAATTATGCTTTCTATGTCTTCAGCGACCTGAAAGAACAGTCTAAAATCATTAAATCAAGAAGTTTGGCTCATCTTTAAAGAGCATGCATAAATAAAAAAAATTGACAGACCAAACCACATTTAGGCGTTGCACTAGATTCTCCTCCACTTGCTTTAAGATCATCATCTTCTAGTAGACATCTGATGCTATAAGGTTCCCACAAACTGGTGCAGTTCTCAATTCCTCCTTTAAAGATTTCTTGGCAGATGTCTTGGATCAGATTACTCATTTGCACTGTGTTTTCTGACATAGTTAAGACACACTTGTCCACAAGAATATCTATTCCAATGCGTGGAAGGTAACGACATCCCTCAAGCATTTGCACCACATGGTTGACATTTTCTCCCTTGAAGAAAAAAGCAATGTCCAAAACAATGTTCTTCTCGTTGTCATCAAGTGAACTAAATGCGTTTTCTAGCACATCGCGTAACTTTTGGGGAGGACATTGCTTGAGCTTGAAGAATGCCGACTCCATTTCTGACTTCTTTCGCATTAGCTCTTGGCCATAAATTCTGAGAGCTAACGGGTTTCCATTAGCATAGTCAATCACCTTCCTTGGTAGTTCGATGTCGTTTTGCTGTATCACGTCTTTCCCAAAAGCGTTTTGGTAGAATAACTGGAGAGCCTCGTGGTCCTTTAAACCATCAACTTCATATATTTGATTCATCTGACAAAAGGCAAACACTTGTTTATCCGTCGAGGTCATGATTATCAGGCTTCCGGAACCAAACCAATCAAGCTTTGCAAGGAAGGACTCTGCAGCCAGAGAATCACGCACATCATCTAGGACAACAAGAATCCTTTTATCGCATAGTTTTTCCCTGTAAAGGCTCGGTCTCATAATGTAAGAACTCTTTATGTCAAACTTTTCCTTTAGAACTTTACCGATTTTTTCTTCGAGCAAACGGTGAAGTCCTTCTTCCTGAAACACTCCATCAAAGTTTTTGATAAAACAAGAAGCGTCATAATCAGTGGACATGTGGTTAAAGACTGCTTTAGCAAGCGTCGTCTTGCCTATGCCAGGCATACCCCAAATCCCTAAACTTCGGAATCCCCGCTGTTGCTTGAAAAGCAAGTTTTCAATCTCCAGTATCCTCGAGTAAACTCCAACTTGTTCTGTTCTATAGAGCTTTCCATAAACATGTTTGACGACCACTTCCAATAGTTCGGAGTCGGTGAGTACCTTATTGCGCCTGCGAAATAAAATAAAATAATAGAAACACCATGTTATACTATTATTATTCAACAATAATTTCAAAATATTAAAATTGTTAACTGAGGAACGTATTAATTCATCCAACTAAAGTTTTAAGAAACTGTGGCTGAATTGCGATATCAATTTGCAAATACTAAAATCACCTCACAACATTTCCAACGATGATAAAGGTTTTTATATTGTGATTTAAATTTCTTCTTAATTGGTTACAGCTGTAATTTTAGTTTTTTTGGCTGTAGAAATAAAGTTGTAAGATTTTTGTTGTGCTTGTAGCTTTTATTTCTGTAAATTTTATTTCTTTAGAATTTTTAATTTTTCAAAACCAAAATTTAAGGTTTTACATATTTTGCTTTGTACAATCAAAAAAAAAAGTATCTATACTTTTAAAAAATTTGTGTATAGCATAATTAGTAAAAAATTAAGGGTTTTAAAAAATTATAGATATGTACAGATTGTACAGGTCTTACCAATCAAACTCATATATGAACCTTGTCGTTATGTCCTCTATGCTGGCGGTGGCCCGCTGGTCCATTCCGGTAAGAGGATCGCCGTTGCAGAACGCTGAATCCCGCTCGAGGTGGACGACGTTCCGCTGGTCGATGATCCTTATGAAATTATTTCTCCAAGGATCGTTTCCCTTCACTATAATGAAAGAAACAATCACCAAAAGTGCCGCCCGACTCCCATTTAAGGAAGTAGAGATGCCTACCCGGCGTAATGCGTCGGAGAGGTGGCTGATGAACGAGTCAGAGTCCGTCCCTCTCCCCGTGATGTGGACGCTGTGGCTACTCTCTTGAGCAGCTGCTGGGTTCATTAGTTCCATCTCTCCTCAATTCTCATCTCCAACGAACGCGACACCGTTGGAATAATTCCTCATTTTTAGTTTTTTCTACATTAATAGTGATATCATTATTAATATAAGATGAGGGACCAAATGGTAGTGTATGGTGAAAAAATGTGCAAGGTGTTTTAGGGATCGCCCAGATTCATGGACTTTAATTTATTATGTAGCTAAATTGATATTACAAAGTCGTGTTTTCTTTTCAGAATCAAAGAAAAGTCCGAAGGAGATATTTATTGAAGCAGAAGTGCTTGAACACATTAATTGGTTGAGGGGTCTCTATTAGAGGCGATGGTAACAGCTGCCAGCTGGAACATGACAAACTCAATAATGCACAGAACCGATAAAGATTCAATTTGGTAGATGCCAAAGTATAGAGAACACAAACTAAGTACATGGTAATTGGTGAACGTCTAGTTAAAATAGCAATGAACGCAAAAAAAGAATGCTTCGTTTTGTTGGGTATGATTTCTGTATCAAACTATATACCGTATTCTTTTTTACATGCAGAATAATATTTTCTCGTTAGTCGTAACAAAAAAAAAAATCAAAATCAAAATTCTGGAAACATATTTTTGTTCTTGTGAATATATTTAATGGGAATTAATGGGAAATTTGGTTCAATAACCAAAAAAGAAACTTAAAACTAACCATTTTTTTTCTCTGTTTTTTTTTTATATCTCTCTCTGCAAATTTGACATTTGGTTAGTTTTTAAATATTAGTTTTTTGGGTTATTCAATAAATTCATTCAAATTATCAAATGGACTGGTTAAGCAACTTTTTTCTTCTCGATTGGTCCCACCAGACGACAAGTCAGATCAAAGAAAAGAAGGATTGACTTTGTCCTTTGGGAGTCTCTTAAATCTACTGCAAAACAGATTTCTAGAACACTAAAAATTTATAAAAAGTTAGAAAATTTGACATGGCAAGTTCTTCTTTCTCCTCCTCTTCCAGGGTGAAAGCAGAGGATGAGACACCCCAAGAACAAGTGTTCATTAACTTCCGTGGAGTCGAACTACGCTACAACTTCGTCAGCCATCTCGAGAAATCCTTGAAAAGGAATGCCATCAATGCCTTCATAGATACAGATGAAGATAAGGGCCAAGATTTGAGTGTTCTCCTCAAGAGAATCGAAGGGTCGAGAATCGCGCTGGCGATCTTCTCCCCAAAGTACACCGAGTCAAATTGGTGCTTGAAGGAGCTCGCAAAGATGAAAGAGAGAATGGAGCAAAGCAAGCTCGTGGTGATTCCAATCTTCTACAAGGTGGAGCCTGCCACTGTTAAAGAACTCAAGGGAGAGTTCGGTGATAAGTTCAGGGAGCTGGTGAAGTCTATTGACAAGAAGACCAAGAACAAGTGGAAGGAAGCTTTAAAATCTGTTCCTCTCTTGATGGGCTTCGTCTTGGATGAGAAAAGGTATCTCTTTCAATCACCCTAAGATCTTAGAAACCAAGCTATAATCTATTGGGGGTTGAGATCAAACCAAGTCCAGATACCTAATTGTTGGATTTAGTAGATAAAAAGTTAAACACACATCTTTGGATATAGCTTACCACAAAAACTAGCTTGTGAGTGATGATGGTCTTAGATCTTTTCAAATGTGGGACATTCTTATCAGAATCATCTCATCTCATACCTTTGTTCGCAGCTATGAAGGCGAAATCATCACAAAAGTGGTCAAGGAGGTTAAGCAAGTGCTAAACAGACTTTCACAGACTTCTCTCAATCCCTCAGAATCTATTGGGCTATCGCCTCAAAGACACCAGAAAAGCCATGAAAGCTCTTGGGGGATCGAGCAACGGCTTAAGCAACTAGAAGAAAAGTTAAGCCTTGGGTACGAAGAAACAACTCGTATCATTGGTGTCGTTGGGATGCCTGGTATAGGTAAAACCACTCTAGCTAGGAATCTATACGAGAAGATGAACAACGGGTTCTTGAGCCACGTGTTAATCCCAGATATCCATGAAATCTCAAAGGAATATGGGTTGAGTTACTTGCCTACGATTCTCTTGGAAGATTTATTGAATGTCAAGGATCCCAAAATTGAGACAGTCAAAGCTGCACATGACGCTTACAAAGATCAACTACTAAAAACCAAAGTCTTTGTTGTTCTTGATAACGTAAGTAGCAAGGAACAAATCGATGCTCTTCTCGGCAACCGCGACTGGATTAAGCGGGGAAGCAAGATTGTCATTGCAATGACAGATAAGTCGTTGATACAGAGTTTTGTCGATGATATTTACGAGGTCCCTCGGTTAAGCGACAGAGACGCCTTACAACACTTTATCCATTATGCATTTAGTGATCAAGAAGGAGATCATCGTCATCATGCTCTTGGGATAGGAAAATTCACGAAGCTGTCGAAAGATTTCGTGCATTGTACGAAAGGAAATCCACTAGCTCTGAAGATATTGGGCGCAGAGCTTTTGGGGAAAGACGAGACTCACTGGGAACTAAAGCTAGATGCATTGAGTCAGCACCATAAAAGTCCACCAGGACAAAGCACAAGCAAGATGCTTCACAATGTTTGGAAAGGGAGTTACGATGGATTGAGTCAACAACAGAAAGATACGCTTCTTGAGATAGCGTGCTTCAAGTCGCTAGATGAGAATTACGTTACGAGTTTATTGGATTCGGATGGGCTTAAGAACGAAATAGAAGATCTAGTGAACAAGTTCATGATTAGTATTTATGCTGGCAAAGTAGAGATGCATGATACTTTGTATATGCTCTCCAAGGAACTTGACCGAGAAGCTACTGCTACTGATGGAAAAGGGCGCCATAGGTTGTGGCACCACAAAACCATAACTCATGTGCTGGAAAAAAATAAGGTAATATACCAAAATCTCTGGTGTTCTAGTAAAAAAATTGAAGTGTTACATTTCTAACATTTTTGAAAAAATTTAAAAAATGATTATATGATAGCATGTTGTGATTATTTAAAGTGTTTATGTCATTCTATTATTATGTTATTTCGTAATTCTGCAATTCATCCGACATGCTATACTATTCACCACTTTTATAAATTATAAGCTATTGTGTGTGGTTTTTACGATTACCCATTACAAAATTATTTTATGAAATTTTGAAAATGTTATATTTAAAATTGTTTTTTCGGAAATGATAATGTTACGTTGTCTAAAATTCTTTTGTTAATTTGTGTTGTTGTTATTTGCCACTGGGATATCAGGGAGCTTCTCATGTCAGATCGATTCTTCTTGACTTGTCTGATATAACAAGAAAAATGAGCTTCCATAGCCATGCTTTCGCCAACATGAGCGATCTACGATATCTCAAAATCTACAGCACTCATTGTCCTCAAGAATGTGACCGTGACATTAAATTAAACTTCCCCGAAGGACTCCAACTACCATTGAATGAGGTGAGATGTCTCCACTGGTTAAAATTCCCAGAGAAAGAAGTTCCAAAAGATTTCAACCCGAAGAATTTGGTTGACCTTAAGCTCCCTCACAGCAAGATTGAACGAGTTTGGGAGGATAACAAGGTGTGTAGTGTAATAGTATACCAGTTAATTTTTCTTTTCTTGGTCCAATGCTTGAAATGAAAGTAGTTGATTTTGATTTATTTGTTTATTATTGTCCCAGGATGCATCAAAACTAAAATGGGTCAACTTGAATAACTCAAAGAACTTGAGAACTTTGTCTGGTTTAGGAAAGGCTCAAAATATTCAAGAATTGAATCTTGAAGGCTGTACGGCGTTGAGAATGTTGCATGTGGATATGCAAAACATGAAGTGTCTTGTTTTCTTGAACCTGAGAGGATGCACAAGTCTCGAGTCTCTTCCACAGATAAAATTGATCTCTTTAAAAAATCTCATCCTCAGCGACTGCTCAAATTTTAAAACCTTTCAGGTTATTTCAAATAACCTAGAAGCTCTATACTTGGATGGCACTGCAGTAAAAGAACTTCCTTGTGACATACGGATCCTCCAGAGACTTGTCTTATTGAACATGAAAGGTTGCAAGAAGTTGAAAAGGCTCCCTGATAGTTTTGGTGAGCTAAAATCTCTTGAAGAACTTATACTCTCTGGTTGTTCAAAGCTCAAAGAATTTCCAAAAAGTGGGGGAAACATGAGCCGTTTAGAGATTCTGCTTTTGGATGAGACAGCCATTGAAGAGATCCCGAGAATATTCTCAGTGCGGCGTTTATGCTTAAGCAGGAATGAGAAGATCAGCCGACTTCCGGATCTAATCAATCAATATTGTCCTAAACTGCAGTGGCTTGATTTGAAGCATTGTAAGAATCTTACACATGTTCCTCAGCTTCCACAAAATCTTCAGTGTTTAGATGTACGTGGCTGCAGCTCACTCAAAACAATTGCGACACCACTGGTATGTTCTACGCCGACAGAGCAGATCCATTCTAAGTTCATTTTCACTAATTGCAACGAACTGGAAGAAGCTGCGAAGAAGGAGATTGTAGTCCATGCTAAACAAAAGTGTCAGTGGCTATCAAGTTCACTTAAACGCTGCAATGGGGTATCTCTCTTACACCCTTAACATTTTCTTGTTGTATATTAACTTTGTTTGATCACAGATCAATGGTTTTATTTTTTTTTGGTATAACTTTTGCAGGGTTGTGTTCCTGAGATTTTGTTTGACATTAGCTTCCCGGGATGTGAAGTGCCTTCATGGTTTCGTCATGAAGCAATTGGATCTCTGGTGGAGTTTGAGTTACCTCCTCATTGGAATCACAAGCAGCTTTCTGGGATAGTCCTATGTGTTGTTGTCACATTCAAGAACTGTCAAAATGATGCCAACTTAAGAGTCAAATTCACTGCAGAGGGCTCTTGCACCAGCATTACTTGGAAGGTTGGAAGTTTGATTGAACAAGACAGCGAAGTAAACACAGACACAGTTGAGTCAGATCATGTCTTTATTGGCTACACCAACTGTCTAGACTTCATAAAACTTCTTGAAGGCCAAGGTACTCGTAAATGTACTCCGACAAAGGCCTCCCTTGAGTTTAGTGTGACAACTGGTGCTGGTGGGGAAGCTAGGTTTGAAGTTTTGAGATCCGGCTTCAGTTTTGTGTTTGAACCTGAAGAGATCAAAGTTTCATTACCAAGGGATGAAGAAGTCAAAGGTAAAACAAAAATTAACGGAACTCCAAGTGCTAATGTTTGTTTCAAGGTTCAACCAAAGGGATATGAATCTCGAAAGAGCCAGTATCAGAGTTACATCGAAAGCTCTGTTAATAACATCACATGTGAAGCACATTCTTCCCAAACAACTGGTCTTGATTTCACTCTTTTGTATTAAAAGGCATCTGCTTTCAACCCAGAAAGATCTTGTAGATTATCTCTGTTTTCAATCTGTTTATTCATTGAAAGAAAGACCAAGATAGATTCAAGAACCAGAGTGATCTATAAGACATCTCTAACAATGTTTTCGCTACAACAAACACTTTTCATCACTTGGCTTAAAAATTCTACAAAAGAAAGTAGACGACCAATGTTACACTAAGGATGTGAGCACTTTGAAAATATACTTCTTCCTCATGACTTGCTTAATTCTTCTAAAACTTAGATCCAGCCAGATCAAGAACTTGGGAGAGATTCTAAACTGAACATGTCACTATGTCAAGCAGATTTCTCAAACCAAAACAAACCTTCATATTCAAGCGGACAAGCTTGCTAATACCTTGATTAGAAGATAAATTTATGTGACGTCATTTCTGTGACCGCTCCTTATCTACTTTGATTTGGTGTTGAGTCTCCAAAATCCAAAACTAAGACTCAACCCAGATTTTACTGTAATTGCTATCATTTCTTTTGGTGTTCATCGTTCTTCTCGTTTCATCATTTCCATATTACACGGTGATCGTCATAAAGCTGAGACATTAAAACCAAAAAAAAAAACAGAGGAAAGCTTGAAGCTTTAAAAATTTGCACTTCGGTCCATTTGATTCACCGTTCAAACACACAAACACCATAAAAACGAAACAGACAGCAGAAAACTGAAACAAATTAACAGAAATAGACACCAACAAAAGTTTTCAGACTAGATTACAACCAGACGAGCAGGTAACTCTTAACTAGGCGGCGGCGCCTGAGACCAGATCTCCGGCAGGAGAAGCGGCGGTGACGGCCCCACCGTCGTCGGAAGAAATTGCGAGCGGAGCCCACTCTGCCGGGAGAGGAGGGAGGGGAGCATAAACGGTGGGCTTTCTCTTAATGTCCCAAGGCTGCGTCTTCTTCGGCCTTGTCTTCCTGTGATGAGCCGTCGATTTCTTCTGAGGCCTCGACGAACACTCTATCACCAATCCCATTCCTCCTCCGACTCCTCCGTTACCCAATTTCGGAACCTGAAATTGGCGGAGAGCCGGTGAAGCGGCGACGGTGATGATTCCGGTGCCAAAGATCGCCGACACAGACATTGTTTCTTATCTTTCTGCAATGGAAGTGAAGTGAGTATGAGCCTCTAGCTTCGGATTAGAGACACCATATCTTGTCCAAGTTTTCGTTTTCCGGCTGATTTTTTTTCTCTTTTAAAACATTTGGGCTTTCTTGACCAAAAAACATTTGGGCTTTTAAAATATTTATTGAGCCCTTCTATACATAATTGTTGATATGGTGGAAGATACAGCCCATAGTGATAATGGCCCATATCTCACAATATCTTAGGAGATATATCCACGCGAATCATAACAACATGCAAACATGCATTATGTCGAATTCTAATCTAGGCCGATGACACAACAACGTCAATACGAGAGATTAGCACAAACCACTAGATTATAATGGTCCATTAGTTAGAATTATAATGCAATGTATATTATTATTTAATTAATATTATATTATATTGGTCTTTAAAGATTTTCAGGGTGTCCAAATTTTTTTATCAGTTTTGGTATCCATTTTAAAAAAATCTAGTAATAACTAGTTTGAGTTTTGGATTTTTTGTTAAGTTGTTCTATAACAAATTTGAAATTTTCGAGTTATAGTTATTATAGTTACGTGATGAACTGGCATATGTAGTACATTCATTTGGTTTTGGCGGCTATTAAGGTTTCTCAATGCTGCCAAAGCGATTACTAAATATATGGTTTGTCCAAACCTGGTCTAATCATGGTTATGTACTAATTCAATAGCACGCCTAAATTAGGCTCTAATCTAACTACTATCACCAACATAATTACCAATTTCAGTTCTCCACACATTCTTTCTATAATTCCAATTCTTATATCTTTATCATTATAACAAAATAATCAGTTAACAGCGGATATATATATATGCGATTACGATGAAAAGTACTCTTCTTTACGTAGACACAAAAACATTTGCTAAAATTATGGCCGAAAATAAGATAACTTGCATATATTCTACGTGACTTCCATTATCCACTACATTTCACAAATTCACGTGCATCGGATCATCACCCCTAATTTATTCCTGTCGACGAATAATTATTATTGGTGTATTTATTTACAATTCGTACTACATATCTACATATCAACAGCTCAGCCATTCGATTATACTTGTACGAGGAGATTCTGTCGGTTAGACCAAATTAGGCATAGTACAAACCTGTGGTGTTCATTGCATTATATAAGTTTTACAAATCTTATCTTAGTGTCGTATTTGACCCACTCAATAAAATTGTAATCGTTGAAATAATAACCGTTAGATAAAACTTAATTTCTGGTGGTTAAAATGGTTGTGGTACGTGTTGGTTTAACTATCCACAATCACTTCTCCTCATTTCAACTATTGCTGTTCTTCTTCTATCATATATCAATGTGGTTGTAAATAGTTTGGATTTGATTCCTTGTGAGTTACCCAGTCAATTAAACGAACCCCTTCAACCAAAAAAAAAAAAAAAAAAAAAATAAGATTTAACCAAATTTTGTTTCTCGAAAGTCACTTTATATAGAAAAAACAATATATTTATGCATGTATATCTCTTAAAAAACGAAACTGGTAGTTATACATAAATATAAAGTATATATTTTTTTTTTGGGCAAAAAAATATAAAGTATATATGTCTTGCATTAAAGGCCTAATATATGAGCCAATCTCAGTCATGTGATTGCTTTTTGAGGGGGTAAATATACTTTGGTACATCGAGAAGAGAACCATATATGATTCGTCTGCTCTCGTACTCTTTTGCATTATTGCATTATTTTATAACTATATTTCTTGAAATTAGAGTTTATACTGTGTACTGCCCCTGCCATGCCAGCAAGATGAAATATACCAGGAATCTTTGGATTCTTTTTTATTTATCAGTATTGTAGTTTCCAACCTAAAGAGAAAGATACTGATCATCCCTTCTTATTTTTTTTGTTGCTAAAAGAGATACTGATCATCCTCGTTGGATCAGACTATTACACGAACCATGGAATATATATGCGACTTTTTATCAGATTGATGTACAAGTACTTTAGAAATGTTAGCCGATTGTTATGATCCACGTTGCATGTGTTTTAGTTTGTTTACCGTTTCATACGATATATCCAAACGCAGTTAACTCGATAAATTGGAAAATGTTGTTTTAATGTTATTGGATTTGAATCCAAATTACCTCAATAAGAAAATATTATTCATTCTACTAAGATCTGTCATAAAAGAATTATCATCACTAGACGAGAAATATCAGTTACGTTGCATAAATGCTCATGTGACTACAAATATGTGACTACAAATATACGTTAGGTCAATATGGAGCAAATAACATAACATGCGAAAAATACAAAAGGGAATATATATTTTTTTTTTTCACGAATATGAGAATAGACTAATAACTTATTTTCAATAACCTCAAATTAAGAATACAAAGAAACCGTTGGTTTTCGACAAAAATAAAAGAAGCCGGCGGTCCAAAATATATTAAATGACGTTTTTGTTTGTATCATTAATTGAATTTTCATATGTTTACACGTTTAATGAGTATCTATCTAATGGTGCACACACGATAATTACATTACACAAGAAAATCAAAAGAATGTGGATATGATTGCGTTTGAAAAGTCGTGATCGGTTGGGATTACGTTGCAAAGATGTCTCGCTTTGATACTCTGCCAAAATACTTCTCAATCATAACGATCGACCTTTAGGTTTGGAGTTTTCTCCACTTTTATTATTTCCCTTAAATCATCAGTTTATAAATATATATCAAGCACATGTTAGATTTGATCAACGATATATAGCCATATATAATATACAAATAATAAACTTTTAATTATTTAGGCCGAAAACGTTAGGCAAATGTACATAGATTTTGATGGTCGTTAAAAAAATACAAATTAAAAAAAAATCCAAATTTTGATGTTTTTCAGTTGGTTTTTCTGTAGAGAGCAAGGAATGGTTTATATAAGTTGGTGATTAATTCGACCATTATAAGAAAAGCATTGCAGCACAATCTTTTCCACTCACTTGAGTTAGTTATGGTCTACTATATATAGTGCTATGAACATGCTTTTAAGAATGTTGCTACTATTAGTAGTATTTTCGAATATCATAAAAGTTGATTAATTAGCTTACTGCAATGGCAACATTTTTTCTAGTTCATTAATCCTTAACTCATAATACTGACACAAATATCCAGACACGTGTGGTTTACATGCCTCGCAACTATTATTACACTATAGAAAAGCTGGACTCCAAGTTGGACTATACAGAAAATAAAATCATTTCGATAGATATATACGAGAATATCTCGTAAAAATCAATAATGGATAAATAAGATTTTACAAAAACACTTTATCAACTTCGATTTTTCTTCCTGGTTTGAATAATTGAATGTAACCTCCCCCACTTAACTTCCGTATAACAAGACAATAGTTTCCCCTACCCACATCCGCATAAAAGAATCTTGTATTTTCCAAAATATTAACGATCCAAAATTTTCACATAAAAAAATGAAAATAAAAATTTTTAAAATGATATCATTTTTCCATTATTATATCAAAAAACCTAACACCCCTCATTATTGCTCCCACTTCAAACCAATTTGCTTCCTTGAATGGCAAGTCTCTTCTCCTCACCTCTCAGCTCACGTTCTCTCTCTATTCTCATCAACATCTTCTTCATCTTCCTCATCTATCTCCATTTCGCTTCACAAAATCCTCCTCACTCCGGATCCATCAAATCCCTAAATTCTCTCGCCGTTGGTGACAGTGACAGCTGCAGCGAAGGACTCGCCGCCCTCGACGACCACCGTTCCAAGTGTTCTTACATTAAATCTCAATCAAAATGTGGCCAACAAGGTTACATAGACTATCTCAAGATTTTCTTCTGCGTCTTCGGTGAATCCCCTGTTTTGGGACATCTAGTTTTATCCATCTGGTTATTTGTTCTGTTCTACTTGCTCGGAGACACGGCCGCGAGCTACTTCTGTCCTTCTTTAGACAGCTTATCTAAGGTTTTGAAGCTTTCTCCTACAATGGCCGGAGTTACGCTTCTCTCTCTCGGCAACGGTGCGCCTGATTTGTTTTCAAG